GACTGGCTTGGCATTGCCTTGCTCAGTTCTCAGATCTCAGCCTCCCGAGTAGCTAGGATGACAGATGGGAGCCTTTGGTGCCAGCCCCAAAGTACTTGTGAATCATGAAGCAAGAGGAAACACTGCCACGAAACCGAATTGCCTGCCATGCGCTTTGTGACCACCAGGCGGCGGTGCAGGCCGTGGGAACTGTCAGGCCAGGCAGGAGGTTTGTGCTGACTGATCCCAGATCCCTTTTTGTTTGTTGAGCAGACTGGGTGTAGTTTCAGTTGCTCAGGAAGCAGCAGGGTAAAGAAAAGGACAGCTGTGGCATGTAGCATGTCATTGAAGTGTTGTCATGGAAAGAAAGAGATGGTTGGAGAATGCAGAGAGAGGGAGGATGGGCAGAGCCCAAATGGGATTTTCTGCAGCCCTGGCCATCCATCAGTCAACAGTTTCAGGAACCATGGAGGCTATGGGTTAAGGATGTCAGGTGACCCCCTCCTCTCCTCCCTGCCTCCTCCCATCCTAAGCCCTCCTCTTCCCCTTCCCCACAATGTCTTGTTTGGAATATTTCCAAATCTAGAGTCAACTGAAATAACACTAGAATATTATCACCTTCAAATCATTTCCTGGAGTTCACCAGCTACTGACATTTTAATGTAGCTAATATTTCTTCTTCTTCTTCTTCTTCTTCTTCTTCTTCTTCTTCTTCTTCTTCTTCTTCTTCTTCTTCTTCTTCTTCTTCTTCTTCTTCTCCTTCTCCTCCTTCTCCTTCTCCTTCTCCTTCTCCTTCTCCTTCTCCTTCTTCTTCTTCTTCTTCTTCTTCTTCTTCTTCTTCTTCTTCTTCTTCTTCTTCTTCTTCTTCTTCTTCTTCTTCTTTTCTCCCTCCTTCCTTCTTTTTCTGTATAAGTCCTGGGCTTGAACTCAGAACCTGTCCACTGGTCTCTTTGTTTTTGGCTCAAGGGCTGGGAATGTGTCTTAGTGGTAGAGTGCTTGCCTAGCATAGATGAAGCCCTGGGTTCAATTCTTTGGTACCATATAAACAGAATAGGCCAGAAGTGGTGCTGTGGCTTAAGTGGTAGAGCACTAACCTTGAGGAAAAGAAGCCTAGGGACAGTGTCCAGACCCTGACGTCTGACAAAAAAAAAAAAAAAGGTTTTTGACTCAAAGCTGGCACTCTATCATTTGAGCCACAGCTTTACTCCTGGCTTTTTGCTAGTTAATTGGAGATAAGAGTCTCATAGATTTTTCTGTCCAGGCTGGCTTTGAACTGTGATTCTCAGATCTCAGCCTCCTGAGTAGCTAAGATTACAGGTATGAACCACAGGCACCCAGCTTTGATTAGTGGTAGTTCCAGTAGTCCAGATTCACAGATGTTAAGCCCAAGTATTGCTCTCTTGCTTTGTCTAGATGTGAAGCTGGGGTAAATGGACTTCTGGGTTGTCACCTGCGGCTGGTCAGTGACAGTCTCTTTGTGTTCCATTCCTGTCAGGCCTTGGAGGCCCGAGCCAGCCCTGGCCACACTGCAGGCTGTGTCACCTTTGTCCTGAATGACCACAGTATGGCCTTCACTGGAGATGCCCTGCTGATTCGAGGGTGTGGGCGGACAGACTTCCAGCAAGGTGACTGGCTTCTTTGCCCAGCCTGAGCTCTCTCAATATGGCCATGGGTGTCTGGGGTTTCAGTATAGGCTACGAGAATGAATAAGTAGATTTTAGATTCAAGTTGAGCTGTTGGAGTTTGGAGACAAGTACATCCAGGGGTTTGGCTGCTGGCAGGTGTTTTAAATACAAATACCCCTCACCCCACAAAAAACTCTTACCACCTAATGTGGAACTTAGGACCACAAATAATTACTATCTCACATAGCTTTCTTGTTTGGTGTTGGTTGGTTGGCCTTTTTTTTTTTGAGGCAGGATATTGGTACGAAGGCTGGGCTGGCCTTGAATTCCTGATCTTCCTGCCTCTAGACTCCTGAGTGTTGGAATTACAGACATACACCCAAGGGTGACAGACCAAAAACCATCAGACCCTAGGGAAGGGTCTCATTCTAACCTTGCTTAATCCTGAATTAGATTGACGAATGCCTCACTGTTCCTCAGTTCTTTGCATGTGCTATTCCACCCCCTAGAATGCCCTTCCCTCTCCATCTCTACCCAGACAAACAAGTATTATTGGCAGAAGAGAGAGGTAGAGAGCTTAGCTGTAGTGACTCTGCCCTGCTATCCTTTTCCCAAGGGAACAAGGCCACTGACCACGGAACTTTCCTTCCCCAGGCTGTGCTAAGACATTGTACCACTCAGTCCATGAAAAGATCTTCACACTTCCAGGGAACTGTCTCATCTACCCCGCTCACGATTACCGTGGTAAGGGCTTGCTTCCTGGAGGAGGTGTGTAGAGGAAGAGCTTAAGTGACCTCCTGTAATTCTCACAGGGCACAGAGACTACAAATCCCAGAATTCATTGGGCCCAAAAGATTCAGGGTTTGAGAGGGGCTTGTGTGGAGGTAGGAACTCTACAATTGACATTCTGCAGGACATGGAGACTACAAGTCCCAGAATTCCATGGGCCAAAAAGATCCAGGGTTTGAATGGGCTGTGTGTGGAACTCGACAACTAGCATTCTGCAAGGCATGGGTTTTCCCAGGACTTCCTTATTTAGAAAGGTCAAAGAACTAAAATAAACAAACAAAAAAAAGATAAAAAAAAAAAAAAAGTTCAAAGAACTGTGGGAAACTGCATTTCCCATAGTACATAACTCAAGGGAAAGTGTCATGGCTAGAGAGGCCTCCCATAGTCTCCTGGGAAATGTAGTTCTGAGACACTAGTTCTAAGGCAGTTCTAGACAATGTAGTTCTAAGGCATTGGAGCCAGCCACTTTCCTTTCCCTTCCTTCACCACTAGGGCTCACAGTTTCCACTGTGGAGGAAGAACGGACCCTGAACCCTCGGCTCACTCTCAGCTGTGAGGAGTTTGTCAAGGTCATGAACAACCTGAACTTGCCTAAGCCTCAGCAGATAGGTAAGCCACTTGGGAGCCAGGACCTCGGGTCTGAGGGCAGAGGCTGGGGCCTAGACCTCTGGGTCTGACAGGGGAGGCCAACGTCTGAAGGATCTGAGGGAGGAAGGGCTGGGGCCTAGATTCCTGATCTGAGGGAGAAGGGCTGGGGTCTGAACCCCACCCCTGGGTCTGAGAGAGGAGGCTGAAGTCTGGATCCCTGGGTCTGAGGGAGGAGGCTGGAGTCTGGATCCCTGGGTCTGAGGGAGGAGGCTGGAGTCTGGATCCCTGGGTCTGAGGGAGGAGGTGGCTGGGGTCTGGAGTACTCCTTCTGAATGACAGAACTGTAATTCCCCAGTCTTCCTGGGTTCCCTGTGGAGCACAGGGTTGGTCAGGTCCTTTAGGGTTCTTTGTGGTTTCTTCCTTCCAGATGTTGCTGTCCCAGCAAACCTGCGCTGCGGGGTCTAGACCCCGCTTTCCTGACTTGTCTGTCAGGTGCTGGCACTGTGGTTAAAGATGCACTTGGTGAGATGAAGGGAGGGGCTGTCACTGAGCCTCCTCTTTTCTCCCACCCCTATCCCTCCAGCCCCTCAAACTTCATAAATAAAAACTGATTATTTTACCACCAATGTGACTTCTACCTGTTTCCTGGGGACACTAGTTGGGCTGGTGGGGGGGGTGGCTGAAGGCTTGAGGTGGGTTTGGTCCTTTGGAAAGGCCTTGGGTGCCAGGAGGAGGAGGAGATCCTAACTCACAAGGTCAGGTGCAGACTTGAATATGGGCCTTGCATTTGAGCCACTCCCTTCTCTTAGAACTCCAGGGTAAGGTATTTCCCTTCAGTCCTCAGTTTCCCCCTTTGTAAAGTGGAAGTGGTAATAACAGGGTGCCTGCAGGATCTGATAAGCCTATAACACCCTTGAGTGCCTGGCACCCTGCCTGCAAGGCAGACTCCCTACCAGAACTATTTTTGTTACTATCATCTAGAATCATCTCTCGGGCACATCCGGGCTGGTGTGTGACAGTTTACTTAATGGTTCCATGTTCCTACATTGACTCAAAGACACCAAAGCTGGTGTTTATAGAAGTTGGATATATTCATTTTCTTTAACCTCACTTTCCTAAGGATAAAATGAAGATAGTAGGTTTACCCTGGTAGCTCATGGTAGTAATCCTGGCTACTCAGGAGGCTGTGATCTTACAGCTTGGTTCAAAGCCAGCCCAGGCAGGAAAATCCACCAGGCTCTTATTTCCAGTTAACCAGCCAAAAGCCCCAGTTCCACTATGGTTCAAGTGAAAAGGGTCAGCACCCAGGCCTTGGGTTCAAGCCCCAGCATGGCATAAACAGAACAAAACAAAAACCTGTAGATGACAACCCTTCTTGGATTGATCTATGAAACTAAATTAAGGTGTGCACAGCATTTTGCTACAGCTCTTGGACTCTAGTAATCCCATTTCACGTGCTGCTTATTTTCCTGTTTTGCCCAGACAGGAAAGGGTCTGGCTGAGACCTTTAACCCCTGCCCTCCACCCTGTGGTAAAGTATGGAGGGCATGTTTCCTTGTCACTGGGCGGGTCACTGACACAGCCCAAGTCACCCCTACCCCCTGGCCCAGCTCCCTAAACCGGTTGGGGCCCTTCTCAAGGGCTCATTAAAGGGGAGAGGCCCCCCCATCTCCATTCCTATCTTTGAGAATTCACAAGATCTGAATATTAGAGACGGCAATATAGAAATGGCCAAAGACACCTGGCCCCTCCTGGGGAAAGGATTGGGGGCAGGGGAGGCGGTGAGAGGGGGCTCTGGAGTCGGAGTGGGTGGACACCATGTTGGGTTCTCCGAGAGGGGTTGGTGGTGCTGGAATGGCTGGATGCCACGGCCGTCGGGCGGGGCCAGCCGGTGGCTCCCTCCTCCCTGGAGAGCGGTTGGACCTGTTTTCCCCCCTGCACTTCCGGGCTGCAGGGAGGGGGACGGGCGGCCTCCCTCCGCCCTCTCTCCCGCCCTCTTCCCCCCTCCTCATCCCAGCCACCTGTCCTGCAGCAGAAGCGGTGGGGCCCGGGCGCAGGGCGCAGGGCGCAGAGCGGAGGCGCCGAAGCCTGAGCTGGTGAGGAGGGCCGCGGCTGCCGGGCAGGAGCGGGAAGGGAGGGCTGGAAGTCGGGGATCCCTTTTCTGAGAGGCGCCAGGGCTTGTCCCAAAAGGTGGCGACTGGGAGCCCCGACTCCTGGATCTCTGGGGGCTCCCCACCCCCAGTGCAGTGGGACCGGGAGAAAGACTGCGAGCTCCCGGGCGGAGCGGGGCGGGGAGTCCCGGAGGGAGGAGATGGGGTGCCATAAAGGTAGTGCAGGAAATTAAGCGGGGCGTGGAGGGGGGGGCTGTTGAGTGGGTTCAAGGTCTGACTCCTGGATAGGAGGGAGGCCAGTTAGGGGGAGCGCTGGGACCCCCATCTCCCCATCGCGGACTCAAATTCCCGTCCCGCCTCTGGGGGCGTGTCTCCTTAGGAGCAATCAGCCTTCGCCCAACCTCATTCCCCGCCCCCGGAAACTTCAGGACACGCCCTCGGGATGCTCAGCGCCATTCTTTGAACTCTTAGACCACGCCCTCCGAGCTTCCAGGCCACGCCCCCGAGGTCCGCAGGCCCCTGCCCGATTCCTAAGGCCACGCCCCGAGCGCACCCTGGCCACGCCCACCCCGCTGGAATCCAAAGCGGCTATGGGGACGCCCAGCAGCCCCGAGGAGGGGACCCCGACTTCGCCATCCGTCCCGGAATGCGACGCTGAAGCCTTTCCCCAAGAAGCTGCTCAACCCCAGGGGCTTTCCGAGGAGCCCCAAGTGCAAGAGGCGCCCGGGGTCCCCGCGGAGCTCCCGAGCCGCCCGGGAGCGAATCAGCAGGCCGAGGAAGAGGAAGAAGTCGGGGAAGGCAGCAGCACGGAGAGCTGCCGGGAGGAGGTGAGGGGCCCGTGGGGCGGCAGCCCAGGTGGGGGGCGGGGGTCACCCCGACGGGGCCCAGACCCTAGCAGGGGACGGAGATGGGCAGAGAGGACAGAGATGGACACGGAGATAGCGGCCGGGTGGAGACACTGAGGAGGCCCAGAGAGACAAAGATACAGACGGGAGGCAGACCCGGACAGACAGACAGATGGACAGACAGACAGGTAGAGAGAAAGCAGGAATGTGGAGATGAGCGGAGATACCCCGAGACTGGTAGAGACACCCCGAGAAAGACAGCAAAAAGTCGACCTGGAACCAGAGAGACTCGGACAGACAGACAGACACTAGCCAGATCCAGAGACGGACAGACCAAGATCCCAACGGGACACGGAGGAGAGACGGACGGAGGTGGGGTTAGGGACAGGGGAAATTCCAGGGAAAAAAAGGACAGATCAACTTCCAGAGGGAGAGAAAGAGCCTTAGCCATTCAGACAGATAAACTGAGTCAGAGAGAGATGACTCCCCACCCCCCCCCCCGCGGGGAGAAAAGGACCCAGAGATCCAGGAAAAGAGACTTAGGCTTAGGACCCTGGATAAGGAAAACAAATGCCTCCTATAACCAACAGTGCTTTGTACCCCTTGGGGTGGGAGCTAGGACCCCCCCCTTTGCCCCCCAAAGAAATGATCTGGTGACCACCCCACCGACCCCGCCCTCCATCCTTAGCCTGAGTGCATAGAGCAGGAAGGGGGGGGCCTAGAATGGGGGGCGCGCTGAGGGTTCGGGCCTGTGTGGCGATTGATCGGGGGAGGGGTTTCGGGGAGGGGCGTGGCCTCGCATGACCACGCCCCCTCCGGCTCCAGCTCGAGGCTGCAGCTCCGGCCCCGGCCACACCCACCGCGCTCATCTCCTCCTCCGGGGAGGGGGCGCGGGGGGCGGCGCGGCGGCTGCGGGCGCAGCAGCTGGAGGCGCTGACCCGCGTGGCCCTGATGGAGCAGCGGGTCAAGGAGCTGCAGCGCCAGAGGAAGGAGCTGCGGATCGAGGTGAGGCCTAGGGGCGGAGGGCGGGGGGGGAAGCATCCCACCCCCCAGACCCGGGCCTCTGCACCCCACGGGCCCCAGGACCCCAGGCCTCGCGCTCTCTGTCTGGGCAGATGGAGGTGGAGGTGGCCCTGCTTCGAGGTGAGCTGGCCGGGGAGCGCGTGGCGGCCCGGCGGGAGGAGGAGCGGCTTCGGGAGCTGCTGGACCCGCAGGTGGACGCGACGAGGGGCAGCCAGGAGCTGCGGGAACAGGTTGGTTTGACCTTTGACTTCTCCACCGGTTTTCTTCCTCTCTCCTCATTCTCCTCCTCCCTTCCTGACTGTGATTGTGGGGTTCTGACTCACCGGAGCCCCCTTCCGTGGTCTCCTGGCTGTTTGCTCTTCAAATGTCATATTCAGAAAAATGTCAAAGCCACAAAAGTTTTTAAAATTGTTATTACAAAGGTGATGCACAGAGGGGTTACAGTTACGTAGGTCAGGTAGAGAGTACATTTCTTCTTGCACAATGTCACCCCTGCTCTCCTTCTCTCCCAATTTCTCCCTCCCATCCCCACCCACAAGTTGTACAGTTCATGTTCAACATAGCATAAAAGTGGGTTTTTTTTTAAAGTCAGATTACCCCTGTGTCCTGTACTCTCCAACCTTTCAAATATTGTGTGTGAGTGTACTAGGGATTGAACTCAGGACTTCATAAGCTAGACAGATGCTCTCCCTCCGCGCACCAGTGGCCCATGCCTATAATTTCAGTTACCCAGGAGGCTGAGATCTGAAGCTCTCGGTTTAAAATCAGCCTAGGAAAGACAAATTTGAGAGATTTTTTTTTTTTTTTTTGGGTCCGGTTGTGGGGCCTGAACTCTGGGCCTGGGCGCTGTCCCTCAGCTCTTCAGCTCAAGACTAGCGCTCTACCACTTGAGCCACAGCGCCACTTCCGGCTTTTTTCTTTATCTTTTGCTTATGTGGTGCTGAGGAATCGAACCCAGGGCCTCGAGCATGCAAGGCAAGCACTCTACCACTGAGCCACCTTCCCAGCCCAAATTTGAGAGATTCTTAACTCCAGTGAACTAGCAAAAACCGGGAAGTGAGCGGGCCGCCAGTGACTCTGCTTGTCATCCTAGCTATTCAGGAGGCTGAGATCTGAGGATTGGGGTTTGAAGGCAGCCCAGGCGGGAAAGTACGTGAAACTCTTATCTCCAATGAAACACCAAAAATCCAGAAATGGAGATGTGGTTGAAGTAGTTGAACATTAGCCTTGAGCAAAAGAAGCCCAGGGTCAGTGTCCAGGCCCTGAGTTCAAGCCCCAGTTCACACACAGAAAGAGAGAGAGAGAGTGTAAGAGGGTGGGGGGGGCACTTGTTGGAGTCCACACCAGGAAGGCCAGCCTGTGATCTGGGGTTGAGCTGATGCAGTTTTATCTCTAATGGTTCTCTCTCTGCTCCAGCTGCTCCCTGCTGTTGGGGAAAACAAGTCCTTTTGTTTCCAGGCAGGATGTGGCTGGTCTCATGCCAAGGTGGTATGACCAGAGATAAGTGGTCAGTGCCTAGGGCTCTGCCACTCCCTGAGAGCAGATGGTGGCTAAGCTACAAAGAAAAGCTCCATCGCTTCAAATGCTCTTTGTGTTTTCTTGTCTTTTTTTGTTTGTTTGTTTTTGTCAGTCCTGGGACTTGAACTCAGGGCCTTGGGCACTGTCCCTGAACTTCTTTTGTTCAAGGCTAGCACTCTACCCCTTGAGCCACAGCACCACTTCCAGCCTTTTCTGTGTATGTGGTCCTGAGGAGTTAACCCCAGGGCTTCATGCAAGCTAGGCAAGCACTCTACCACTAAGCCACATTCCCAGCCCCATGTTGTTGTCCTCTTCATTGTGTTTTTTGTTGTTTTGTCATCCTAGGACTTGAACTCAGGGCCTGGACACTGTCCCTGAGCACTTCTGCTAAAGGCTAACATTCTAGCCACATTAAGCTACAGCTCCACTCCTGGTTTTCTTCCTGCCCTGGCTGACTTTGAACCTTGATCCTCAGATCTCAGCCTCCTGAGTAGCTAGGATGACAGGCATAATCCCCAGAGCCCAGCTGACCTGTTCGTTTTATTTTTTATTTTTAAATTATTTTAAAATTTTTCCTGACAAGGTCTTGCTATGTCAATCCAGGCTGGCATCCAAGTTGAGATCCTTTTGTCTCAGTCTCTGCAGTGCTGGTATTACAAATGTACCCCACCCTACCTTGTACTTTCTGGCCTACTTTGTACTTTCTGAGCAAATATTGGGGACCAACGGTGATTTTAATCTAGGACTGGTAGGGCAGTGTAACACAGCTCTGAGGGTACCTGGATTAAGGGGTAACTCCTGCTGCAGGAATCTTGAGTTCCCTGGATGTGAGCGACTTGCAAAGAGCCTGAGAATCAGGGAATATTTCTTCCTGAGGAGATGCACAGAGCTGGAAGGGTATTTGGTGCAGAGGGAACAGAATGGAACAGGTGAACAGAGGTTGAAAAGTATAAGTTTGGGAAGCAAAGCTGGCCAGGGCGGGAAGATAGGAAGAGGAGCTGGGAATGGACAGGGCGCGTGTCAGATTTGGTTTCCTGGGGCCATGGGGGGCTATGGGAGGACTACCAGGGCTGGGGTGCACCTGGGTTCGAGGTCATCCTTCGAGGCGATGGACGGGAGGGTGGGCACTAGCTCCTTCGGAGTCCTCCAGACAATGCCAGGGCTACCTCGGGCAAGGCTGGAAAGGGCAGATGAAAAAAACATGAGCTAGAGGGAGGCTGAGAGACCAGGGCAAGAGAGGCCCAGAGGCCAGGGAAGGGAGCCAGTAGGCTCTGGAAGGAGAGGAGACCCAGGCAGGCATGCAGGGCAGGGGCCTGGATGCTGGTGTGGTAACAAGGACAGGGAGATGACAATGTGGACAAGAGAATGGCTGAGGATAACTTGATCTGGTGAATGAGAAAGAGCCGGACGGTCTGAGGGAGGAAGCCTGGGGCCTGGACCCCTGGGTCTGAGGGAGGAGGGCTGTTTGCTTGGTGCCTTCTCTAGGACACTTGTGTGGATCCGTCAGGGTCCCGGTTATCCTGGCGCCATGCTGTAGCTGGGAGTGTGATCTGGGGCCTCCCAGCTGGGTGACTGGGGTCCTGCCCTAAGCACAGGCTGAGGCACACAGCACGGCCATAGTTCCTTTTCTTTTGGTCAGTCATGGGTCTTGAACTCTGGGCGCTGTCCCTCAGCTCTTCAGCTCAAGGTGAGCACTCTACCACTTGAGCCACAGTGCCACTTCTGGTTTTCTGAGTGGTTTATTGGAGATAAAAGTCTCACAGACTGGCCGGGCGCTGGTGGCTCACGCCTGTAATCCTAGCTACTCAGGAGGCTGAGATCTGAGGATCGCGGTTCAAAGCCAGCCCGGGCAGGAGAGACCGTGAGACTCCTATCTCCAATAAACCACCAGAAAACCGGAAGTGGCTCTGTAGCTCAAGTGGTAGAGCGCTCGCCTTGAGCTGAAGAGCTGAGGGACAGCACCCAGGCCCAGAGTTCAAGCCCCACGACCGACAAAAAAAAAAAAAAGTCTCACAGACTTTCCTGCCTAGGCTGGCTTTGAACTGGGATCCTCAGATCTCAGCCTCCTGAGTCGCTAGGATGACAGGAGTGAGCTCCCGGCATGGCCATGGTTCTTGCAGGAGCAGAGGCGGCTGCACCAGGAGCGGGAGCGGGTAGAGCATCTTCGCCAGAGACTCCGGGATGCTGAGGGGCAGCTCGATTCCCAGCCTGAGGACCAGCGCGAGCGCTTTCTGCATGGGGTACAAGAGGTGAGGATCTCTCAGAGATGAGGGTGTCCCAACCCTTCCTCCCTCAGACCCAGGCATCCAGGAGTCCTGGCCCCGCCCACCCCATGGCTTCCCTGGGCTCTAGCATCCGGGCCTCTGTCCACCACAGATGAGAGAGCAGCTGGATGTGGCCCAGCGGGCCTATGAGGATCTGGAGTTCCAGCAGCTGGAGCGGGAGAGCCGGCAGGAGGAGGAGGACAGAGATGGCCCTGGGGCCTCAGTGTCAGACCCCAGGGTCCAGGAGCTCCAGGCCAGCGTGGCGCAACACAGGGTGAGCCCAGGGCACTGTCCCGCCCCGTCCCTGACTATGCCTGCAGCCCAGGGCAGCTACTGAGCACTGGCTCATGGAATCTTACCACAAGCCCGCCAGGCAGGCCCTGGGCTTTATCTTGTTTTTCTATTTTTGAATGTGTGTGTGTGCTCTGCTGGTACTGGAACTTGAACTTAGGGCTTCTTGCTCTTGCTTGGCTTTTTTTTTTTTTTTTCCCCTCAAGGGTGGTGCTCTACCACTTGAACCACAGCTTCACTTCTGGCTTTTGGCTGGTTAATTGGAAACTCTTGTCTTCCTAGGCTTTTCTGCCTGGGCTGACTTCAAACTGAGATCCTCAGATCTCAGTCTTCTGAGTAGCTGGGATTATAGGCATGAGCTAATAGCACCTGGCTTTTTTTTTTTTTTTTCCTTTTCCTTTCTCCTTCCTCCCTCTCTTCCTTCCCTCCTCCTTGTCTTGACACGGTCTAGCTATGTAGCCCAGACTGGCCTTGAACTCTCCAGCCTCCTAATCCAGTCTTCCCAGTGCAGGAATTACAGGCATGCCCTGTCATGCTGGTGTCTGTTTTGTTGTTTTTTGTTTTTTTGGTTGGTCCTGGTACTTGAACTCGGCTTGGGCTCTGTCTCTGCACTCTTCAGCTCAAGGCCAGCGCTCTACTACTTGAGCCACAGCACCACTTTCGGTTTTTCTGGTGGTTTATTGGAGATAAGAGTCTCACAGATGTTCATGTCCAGGCTGGCTTTAAACCACGATCCTCAGATCTCAGCCTCCTGAGTAGCAAGGATTACAGGCATGAGCCACCAGCACCCGGCTCTGTTTTGATGCTGTTGTTGGTGGTGGTGTTGGTCATGGGCCCTGAACTCTAGGCCTGGGCACTGTCCCTGAGCTCTTCAGCTCAAGGTGAGTGCTCTACCACTTGAGCCACAGCACCACTTCCAGTTTTCTGGTGATTCATTGGAGATGAGTCTCACGGACATTCCTGCCCAGGCTGGCTTTGAACCAAGATCCTCAGATCTCAGCCTTTAAGTAGCTAGGATTACAGGTGTGAGCCACGGGCACCTGGCTGGTGTCTGTTTTTATCTTGTCTTCTTTCTCTGCCTTTTCTCTACAGCTCTGCCTTTATGCATCTTTCCTGGTCACGATGCTATGGTTTTATCCAGACATTTGTTTGCTCTCTCTCTTCTTGCTTCTTTCTTCTCCATAAGTCTCTGCCTTCCTGGATCTCTGCCCTCTATAGCCCATCTTCTGTTCCCTAACCTGTCCCAGATCTCTTTGGACACAAAAGAAAAAAGTTGGAACACAGGACTTGTCCCTCCCCATCCTCCAGTTCCTGCTGTCATTGATTTGGGTGGAGCAAGGCCGTGGGAGGGCAGGCCGAGGGGGCCGGTGGGTCACTGGGGCTGGGGCCCCTGCAGCGTCGCATTCAGGTCCTAGAGGAGCAGCTCGGATCGCTGGGGGAGCAGATGGCCGCCGAGAGCCGGGGGCTGAGCCGGAAGAAGGAGGAGGCCCTCCAGGCCCTGACGCAGGTACATTTCCCCAGACACCTGTCCTCCATCCTCCCTTGCTGTGGGCCTTCCCCCAGCCGCCCCCCCTCACCCCCATATTTCCTGGCTTCAGGAAAAGCCACGGGGGTGGGGTGGGGGGGTGGCCCTCACTCACTGACACATGGTGGGCCATGGGGTTTGTAGGAGCGGAGTCGACTGTTTGAGCTCAGCAGCCTGCATGAGACGCCCGGAGGTGACTGCTCAGAGCCCAGCCAAGCCCTCACCAAGGTATCATGTGCCAAGAGCCTCCTCCCTCAGACCCAGAGGCCCAGCCTCTTCGCTCAGACTCAGGGGTCCAAAAGCCCTAGTCTCCCTCCCTCAGACCCAGGGGTCTAGGCCCCAGCTTCCTTGGAACCAAGCCTTGGTTTCCTCATTTGAGATCTGGGTTGCCAGTAGAAGCAGGGACCCAAGCATCTGGGCACTGCCAGTTCCTCCCACCCCCCACCCCCCAATGCCCAGGTCTCCCCTTCACCTCTCTCCAGCTCCTGTTCACCCAGAAGACTGACCGCCAACTGCTGGTGCTGCAGGACCCCGCAGCCGCCGCCACTGCCGCTGCCTCTTCCTGTCTCTTCTCCGTCCACAGCTCCCTGCAGGTGCCTGGAAGCCGCTAGTTTTTCCCATGAGCCTCTCTGGCCAGTGGGGTGGTTGGGGTGCTGAGAGCCGAGTCCCGGGGCCCAGGCTGCTGGTGGTGTTCTCTTGCTGGTTCATTGCAGACAAGTCTCAGGGACCTTCCTGCCTGGGCTGGCTTCCAGTCTCCAGCTTCAGATCTCAGTCTCCTGAGAAGCTGGGATTACAGGCGTGAGCTACCCACATCCAGCCTGCACTGGCTAGTTTTGAGATCGGGTTTTGCTTCTTGCCCAGGCATGTGCCTGAACTGTAATCCTCCTGTTGTAGGCCTCTCTTCATAGCTGGAACGTCAGCATACATTCCCATCCCAACCCCAGCAGCATCTTTTGTTAAGATGGATTCTAGCTGGGAAGGTGGCTCAGTGGTAGAGCGCTTGCCTTGCATGCCTGAGGCCCTGGGTTCGATTCCTCAGCACCACATAAGCAAAAAGAAAAAAGCCGGAAATGGCGCTGTGGCTCAAGTGGTAGAGCGCTAGCCTTGAGCTGAAGAGCTGAGGGACAGTGCCCAGGCCCAGAGTTCAGGCCCCATGACTGGACCCCCCCCCCAAAAAAAAATCCTCCAAACTGGGGTTGGTGTGTGTGTGTGTGCGCGTGCGCTGCTATTGGGGCTTGAACTCAGAACCTCAATGCTGCTTCTGTCCCATTTTCACTGAAGGCTGGCATTCTACCACTTGGGGCACAATCATCAGATCTCAACTCCTGAGTAGCTGGGATTATAGGCATGAGCTACCAGCACCTGGCTGAAGGCATTAGTTTGTTGTTGTTTTGCCAGTCCTGGAGCTTGAACTAAGGGCCTGGGCACTGTCCCTGAGCTCTTTTGTTCAAGGCTAGCGCTCTACCACTTTGAGCCACAGTGCCACTTTTGGCTTTTTGCTATTAATTGGAGGTGAGTGTCCTGGACTTTGCTTCTTGGGCTGGCTTTGAACTGTGATCCTCAGATCTCAGCCTCCTGAGTAGCTGGGATGACAGGTGTGAGCCACTGATGCCTGGCTGTGAAAGGCATCAGTTTTTAGGGAACATTTCTGATCAGAATCACAACAGGCCTTGTGTGTTTTCAGGGCTCCATTGGCCTCCAGAGGACTGGAAGCCTGCCCCGGAAAAGGGGAGAGCGTGTGAGCCAGAAAGGGTCTCCTCGACCTCTGTCTGTCCACTGTACAGGTGAGGACCCTCCCCTCCCCCCTCCTGCTCCCCAGTGGACCCCTGGGCCGAGGCAGAAGACAGCGGTGAAGGCAGGAGGTCTGCAGAGAGAAGTTCAAGGGTTGGGACAAGGGAGTACCCCAGCCTTCTAACCCCACCCTCACTTCCCCAGCGCCCCTGAAGGCCTCGGCCCTTGGCCCAGCAGTGGGGACCTCAGGAAGACACCCGCTCTATCAGCTGCTGAACTGTGGCCCTGGGAACAGGTGGGACCCAGGGAGAGGAGGGGGCAGAGCAGAGGAGGAGGAGGTGGAGCCATGGTGACCACACCCCTCTCTGCCCCTCCCCACCCCTCTCCGCCTCCTCCATCCAGCTATGGAGCCCTGCACCCGGACATCGCCCACATGGAACGGCTACTGCAGCAGGCTGTGGCAGAGAGAGAGCGTCTGCTCAAAGCCAGGGTGAGACCCCCGCACCCCCTCCTGCAGACGGGACTCTCCCCGCTCAGACCCCAGCCCTGCTTCCCCTAGACCCCAGCCTCCTCCCTCAGACCCAGGAGTCCAGACCCCAGCCTCCTCCCTCAGACCCAGGGATCCAGACCCCCAGCCTCCTCCCTCAGACCCAGGGATCCAGACCCCCAGCCTCCTCCCTCAGACCCAGGGATCCAGACCCCCAGCCTCCTCCCTCAGACCCAGGGATCCAGACCCCCAGCCTCCTCCCTCAGACCCAGGGATCCAGACCCCCAGCCTCCTCCCTCAGACCCAGGGGTCCAGGCCCCAGCCTCCTCCCTCAGACCCAGGAGTCCAGACCCCAGCCTCCTCCCTCAGACCCAGGGATCCAGACCCCCAGCCTCCTCCCTCAGACCCAGGGATCCAGACCCCCAGCCTCCTCCCTCAGACCCAGGGATCCAGACCCCAGTCCTCCTCCCTCAGACCCAGGGGTCCAGACCCCAGTCCTCCTCCCTTAGACCCAGGGGTCCAGACCCCAACCCTCCTCCCTCAGACCCAGGAGTCCAGACCCCAGCCTCCACCCTCAGACCCAGGGGTCCAGGCCCCAGCCTCCTCCCTCAGACCCAGGGGTCCAGACCTCAGCCTCCTCCCTCAGGCCCAGGGGTCCAGACCCCAGCCTCCTCCCTCAGACCCAGGGGTCCAGACCTCAGCCTCCTCCCTCAGGCCCAGGGGTCCAGACCCCAGCCTCCTCCCTCAGACCCAGGGGTCCAGGCCCCAACCCTCCTCCCTCAGACCCAGGGGTCCAGGCCCCAGCCTCCTCCCTCAGACCCAGGGGTCCAGACCCCAACCCTTCTCCCTCAGACCCAGGGATCCAGACCCCAGCCTCCACCCTCAGACCCAGGGGTCCAGGCCCCAGCCTCCTCCCTCAGACCCTAAGCCTGTCCATCCCCTCCACTTGTCTCGGGGTGGCATGCTCACTGTCCCTGCACCCCAACCCACAGGAAGGGACAAGGAGAGGTGCAGACAGCAGACCCTCAGGCCCTGCAGTTCCTGCCATCACGGTCAGTCTCACCTGCCTCCTCCCTGCCCGGTGTGTCCGTGGCCTTTGCTCTGCAGGTCTTTTGAGCGTCCGGGGTTGGGAAGGGTAGGAGTTGCCCGGATGCTCTCTTTCACGCATCTGTGGCATGGATGTTCTAGGCAAACGGTGCCATTTTTGTTTTGTTCGTGTGCTATGGTCCATCGCAGAGCCTTTTGTGTTCTCAGCACAAGCGTTACCATGGGCCCAGCTGCCCCTTCTTCGTGCCTCAGTTTCCCCTCCTCTGAACAAGTCTATGCTGGGGCTCTTAAAAACTGAGCCTTAAGCTGGATGCTGGTGGCTCAGTCCTGTCATCCTAGCGACTCAGGAGGCTGAGATCAGAGGATCGTGGTTCAAAGCCAGCCTGGGCAGGAAAGTGTTCATGAAATAAACACAGCAAGTCTGTGTCAGTGCGTGTCCTCATAAAAATGAAGCACACTTGGAGGTAGTCTGCCATGCCTTGTAGCATCATTTATTCAACAGCCCCCTGTGGTGAGCATTGTCCCCGTCCGTGTCCCCTGTGCTGGCTTTGTGCCCTGCATTGTGCCTCTGCATTATTTAAAACTAGGCACGCTCTGTGGCTCCTACCTGTAATCCTAGCCACTCAGAAGGCTGAGATCTAAGGATCACAATTCAAAGCCAACCCAGACAGGAAAGTCCATTTGACTCTCAACTCCAGTTAACTAGCAAAAAGCCAGAAGTGGAACTGTGGCTTAAGTGGTAAAAGCACTAGTCTTGAGCAGAAAAGTTCATGGACGGCACCCAGGCTCTGAATTCAAGCACCATGACCCGTCCACCCCCTATCCTTTCCCACAAACTGTACAGGGAAGCTAAACACAGTGATGTCCACTTTGTCATCCTAGCTGCTGGGGAGGCCCAAATTGGGAGGATTATAGCTCGAGGCCAACCCTGGCCAAGAAGTTCCCCAAACCCAATCTTAAGGAATAAAAATCTAGGCATCATGGGGCTGGGAATGTGGCTCAGTGGTAGAGGGCTTACCTAGCATGTGTGAAGCCCTGGGTTCAATTCCTCAGTACCGCATACACAGAAAAGACTGGAAGTGGTGCTGTGGCTCAAGTGGTAGAGTGCTAGCCCTGAACTAAAGGAGCTCAGGGACAGTGCTCAGGCCCTGAGTTCAAGCCCCAGGACTGGCAAAAAAAAATTAGGCATCATGGCCTGTTGGCCAGGTCTCCAAGCTTTAGGAACCCCGATTCCTGGCTCCCCAATAGCCACCACATCTCCGCTCTCTGCAGGCCCCACCCACGCCCCCACCACGCCCCCCTGGGCCTCGTGTCCTGGACCTCCGGCAGCACCTGGAACGCTGGGGTCACAACCCCGAAAGCTGTCCTCACGTGAGGGTGTCCGGGGGCTGCTGCCGTGGACCTCTGGTGAAGATGGGGGGCCGCATCAAGACCTGGAGGAAGCGGTGGTTCTGCTTTGACCGCCAGGCCCGCCGCCTGGCCTACTACGCAGGTAAGCCCGGCGCACGGGCTGCGGGGTCCGGGCTCCAGGCCTCACCTCGGGCTGGCACCCCGGGAAACCCGGGCCCCAGCCTTCCAACCTCAGGGATCCACACGCCAGAACCATACTCACCCCCGTCCCACCCCAGGATTTGGGAATTGGGGCCCTGGCTCCATCCTGCTCTTCTCCCGAGTCCCCCCTCAGCTCCCTCCAAGACCACCGCTATGGGTGCAGTCTGGACACCTGCACCCACCTAGCTTGAATAGGAATTCACCCTCCAGCCTTGGGACTCCAGACCCCTCCCCTTCCTCCCTCCCCCAGTGCAGTCCCACCCCACCACACATTCGCACCTCAGCCGCCTGTTTCTTCTCTCCCTCCATCAGACAAGGAGGAGACCAAGCTCAAAGGTGTCATCTACTTCCAGGCCATTGAAGAAGTCTACTATGACCACTTACGCTGTGCCTTCAAGGTGAAGTGCCCCCAACCCCATCTGTGGCTCCTCAGAGCTCCAGAGTCGCTGGGATTACAGGCGTGTGGCACAGAGCCCAGCCCCCAGTTGTTTCCCTCCCCTCTGCCTGTAAAAGTGCCGGGGTAAAAGGTTCAGTGTTGGCAACTGATGGAATCTGTGGGGTGCTCTGTGGAGAGGAACCAACACAAGGCTTTCTAAAGCTTCACTTGCAATCCCAGCTGTGTGATGTCAGAAGACTGACTTTGCCAGCCTTAGTTTTCTTATCTGTGAAATGAGCAAACTTGGACACACTCTGGGCTAAAATATAGACATAGATGATACCTACAGGTTGGGGTTGGCCAGTAGGTGGCTCAGTTAAATGGATTTTAGACACTAACATTTCTCAGTTGCTAACCCGGAGGAGGCTAGATTATTTTTTTGGGGGGGGGGGAATGAGGGAATTTATTACTTTTTATTTTTGTTGGTTGTGGAGCTTGAACTCAGAGCCAGGGCACCATCCTGAGTTTTTCTGCTCAAGGCTAGTGCTCTACCACTTTAAGCCACAGCTCCACTTCCGGTTATCTGGTGGTTAATTGGAGTTAAAGAGTTTCACACACTTTCCTTGCCTTGGGCTGGCTTTGAACTGCAATCCTCAGATCGGAGCCTCCTGAGTAGCTAGGATTACAGGCGTGAACCATTATCTACCACCTCAGGAGATGGAATTTAAATGTCTGTATTTCTAGTGTAATAAAATAAGGCTGGGTAAAGGGCTTATAGTTGGTCCTTTTAAAATTCCTTTGGTTCCTGGTGTAGTAATATCATTTTACATAAACGTTTCTTTTTTACATTTTTTTCTGTAATCCTCTTAACCAGTGAGGTAACTAGCACCCTTTGTTATTTATTTAGTGCCATTAATGGGGCTTGAACTCCAGCCTGGGCACTTCCATGAGCTTTTTCTTGCTTAAGGCTGGCGCTCCCCCTCTTAAGTCACAGCTCCACTTGCACCTTTTTTCTGGTTAATTGGAGATAAGACAGACTTTCCTGACCAAGCTTGCTCTTCAGATCTTAGGCTCCTGAATTGCTAAGGATTACAGGGCTGAGTGTCAGGCTGTGGCTTGAACACTCTTTAGCAAGACAAATGGAAAAAACCCAGACCTGGAACTTGAGTAACTTGACCAAAGCTACCCAGCCAGCAAGTGGCGTGGGAGGGGTTGGAGTCCAGGCTGGGGAAGGGGGTGGGGGGAATGGAAGCGGGGAGCAGTGCCTGTCTCCCTAACCCCCCTTTCCTACTTGCAGAGCCCCAGCCCCCGCCTGACGTTCTGCGTCAAAACCTACGAACGCCTTTTCTACATGGTGGCCCCGAGCCCGGAAGCTATGCGCATCTGGATGGACGTCATTGTGACAGCTGCAGACGAGAACCACGCCCCCTGAGCCTTGACCACGCCCCCACGACGTCCCTCGAGAGCCGGCCCCGTTCCGCTCCTGCCTATAGGCGGCCGGGCCACGCCCACTTCCGGAAAAAGCCTGGTCCCGCCCGTTCGGAACTCTCGCGATGCCGAGCGGGGGCTGCGGCTCAGCGGGCCTGAGCCGCGGAGGTCGCGGCGGCCGGCGGCGTCCCCTGCCCGGGGCCGGGCAAGCTCGCGGGGAGCGGATGCGACTATTTATTGGTGCTTCTGTGATACCGAATTAAACGTGAGGAAAAAAAAACCAACAAGCCCTGAGGTTTCCACGTGGGTCCTGCGTGCAGGGGTGCGGGGTGGGGGGGTCAGCAATGCTGACCTTTAACCCCTAGGGTCATGGCTGGAGGAGGGGCCCCCCTTCCTCTGGCTGGACCCCCCAGGTCCTCATCCCCGGCCTCCTCCCGCTCCCCAGCTGGCCTCACGCCCCGGGTCTTCCTGCCTCCACCTCTCCCCAGTGCTGGGGTTACAGGTGTGCCTTAACCACACTGGCTGTCCAGACAGCCTGGGAGGTTTCCCGTCCCTTGGCGCCCTGGCTTGGGAGGATGGGTCCCCGCCCCTCGGGGCTGGAGCACGGGGCCTGGCTGTTCTCATGACCTGTGCACTGCAGGGCAGAGCCCAGTCCATTGAGGAGAGAGGGAACTGGGTCCCTACGCCCCTTAGGGGGCGGTGTCAGCTTTGTTTAGGAGCCTCACACTCCACCCAGCTCAAGTGCTGCACACGCCCCGTGTGTTATGGTTCCTTTCCCAGGATCCCCTGCGTCTCCTACTTTCTCTAGGTTTCCCCTTCTACTTCTGCCTTTAGTCTCTCAACAGCCTTCACTGCCCTGAACACCTACACACACACACACACACACACACACACACACACACACACACGGCTATTTGAACTCAGGATTTTGTGTTCTATCACTTAAGCCATAACCCCATCCCTTTTTGCTTTTACCTTTTAAAATAAGGTCTTGTTTTATGCCCTAGGCCGACCTAACCTGCATAGTGATCCTCCTATTTATACTTCCCAAGCAGCTTAGGATGACAGGCACACACCAACGTGTTCAGCCTTTTATCTTGCTTACGTGGTTCCTCACAACTGGCCTCCAACCACAGCCCTCCTCACCTCAGCCTCCCAAGGAGCTAGGATTATGGGCCTGTAACACTGCCTGGCTATGCATCTGAAGAAATTCTTCATCCTTGGGTGCTGTCCTTGACCTATTTTTTCTCAAGGCTAGCATTCTACCATGTGGAGCCACAGTGCCACTTGTGGTTTTTGAGTGGTTCATTGCAAATAAAGAGTCTCATGGGGACTTTTCTGCCTGGGCTGGCTTTGCACTGTGATCCTCTGATCTCAGCCTCCTGGGTAGCTAGGATGACAGGTATGAGCCACTGGTGCCTGGCTTCATCACTTGGTCTTTGATTGTGTGTTTTGTTAGTGGAGTGTGGTGGTGGGGATTAGAACCCCAGGTCACAAGTGGGCCTACCTCCTGCTGTCTCTCAGTGCCCCAGGACAGGCTCTCACCCTCTTGGCATCCTGTCCTGGCTCTGTGCATCACTGCCACTTCTATTGGGCTACTGTCTTCCAGAATCTTTGCAGTGAACTTGGCTGGAGGGAGCAGGAAGAGCTAGCGGAGGCTGGGGCCTGGAGCCCAGTGGCCTCCAAACCTTCGTGGAGGCTGGGGTAGAGTGACAGAGGTGTGAGTGCTGTGTCCCATCCTAGCCGGGTAAAAATTAATAAATACTTCATAAAGACAAACTCGCTGTGTTCTTTTGGTCCGGGGCCAGGTGCAGGTCAGGCCCCAGCATCCAGGCAGGCCCCAGCACGAGCCTCTCCACCCTGGGCCCCTCCCTCCGGCCCAGAACACTTGGCTAGTTCTTCCTGTCTGGCCAGTTAGGGTTCCTCCCTGAAACTCTCACGCTGGCTGCAGAGGAGGCTCTGTGGGGCCTCCTGCTCCCCAGACAAGACCAGGGTATCACTCTGCCTGCCACACACTGGCATGGTGGGGAAGGGTTTAGAGCCATTTGAGCAAAGAAGAAGCTGCAATTCAGAGAGGGCAATGCAGCTGGTTGGAGTCCCACAGCAAGAAGGACGCTGAGGCAGGATTGACCAGTTTGTCCAATTCCAGACAGTCTCCCCTTTTACCAGGAAAGACAGCCCCTAACTTCAATATAAATGGGTCCTAAAGCCAGTGCTTAGGAGGCTGAGGCAGGAGGATTGAGAGGTAGAGGCTAGCCTGGACTACACAGTGACACTTCATCTCAAAATGAAGATGATGAGGATAATAATGTACACTTTGGAGTGTCAGAGAAAAGACACTTCTGCAGGGTCACACAGCGAACCGGAATCAGGCTGGGAGACAGGATGACTTTATAAGAAGTCATTCACTTTCGCTGTCCCAGCCTTCACTGCATGACAGGTGACCCCACCTAGGTGACTGAGGTGTTTGTCATAGTTGGGAACCCAGATGCCTGAGTCTGGGGTGTAGATACCTTTATGAACATAGCCCGCTATTTTCTGCCTTCAGACACGGAGCCAGCCAGGGGGAGCTGACCACCACTTCCCTCGCTGTATGAACAACTTGAACTAATGTCTCCCTCCCTGGGGTCTCAGTTTTCCTCCTCTGAGAAATGGGTACTTTCTCCCTTCCTGCAATGGGAATTCAAGACTAGGTTGCTTGTCCAAAGGCCAGCATCCTGTCTGGCACAGAGCAGGAGCTCAAGATGATCAATCACTAATTCATAATCATAGTAATAGCAGTCTCTTTACACCAAAAATATGCTTTTAGAGCACTTAGAAATATCTAGTGCTGGAAACCAGAAGTGACGCTGTGGCTCAAGTGGTAGAGCCCTGGCCTTGAGCTAAGGAGCTGAGGAACAGCGCTCAGGCCCAGAGTTCAAAACCATGACCAACCAAAACAAAACAAAAAAAAGGAGTATCTGGTGCTCCACAGGGGCTTCAGTTCATTTCCACAGGCAGCCTGACTGGGTATATACTATTAATTCCTATTTTAGCTGGGCGCTGGTGGCTCACGCCTGTACTCCTAGCTACTCAGGAAGCTGAGATCTGAGGATTCAACGGCTCAAAGCCAGCCCAGGGAAGCAAAATCTGTGCGACTCTTATCTCCAGAAAACTGGAAGTGAAGCTGTGGCTCAAAGTGGTAGAGTACGAGTCTTAAGCAAAAGAGCTCAGATGACAGTGTCCAGGCCCTGACCCAAAAAAAAAAAAAATCCTTATTTTAAAGCAGGCTCTGGGGTTCACATTGTCACCCTAGCTACTCAGGAGGCTGAGATCTGAGGATCACTATGAAAAGCCAGCTGGGACAGGAAAGGCCATGAGACTCATCACTAATTAACTGCCAAAAATCTAGAAATGGAGCTGTGGCTCAAATGGTAGAGTGCCAGTCTTGAGTGAAAAAACTAAAGAACAGTATCCACCTGGTTTTGAGTTCAAGCCCTTATAGGGGCACAAAAACAAACCAAAGCACCCACAAAGCAAGCCTGTTCATGCCCTCAGTTGACTCTGACCCTGTCAAAGGTCCCCCATCATTTTTTCCCCTGTGAGGCTTGAACTCTGGGTCTGGGTACTGTCCCTGAGCTCTTCAGCTCAAGGCTAGCTAGCGCTCTACCACTTGAGCCACAGCGCCACTTACAGCTTTGACTTTCCTGCCCAGGCTGGCTTTGAACCGTGATCCTCAGATCTCAGCTTCTTGAGTAGCTAGGATGACAGGCCTGAGCCACTAGCGCTGGCTCCCCCATCTTTCTCAGTGTTGATCCCTGTCTCTCCTCAGGGCTTGTGCTTGCCTGACTCTTCTGCCCAGGTTCCCCCTTCTTCTCTGGGGCCCCCAGAGCTCCCTGCTCTGGACAGTCCCTTTTAGCCTGAGTGCAGCGCCCCACCGGCCTCCAGCTCCTTCCGGAACAAACCTGAGGTCCCAGCTTGGGTCTCCTCCCCCAGTGTCCACTGCACCCTCCTCTGGGTCCCCAGCTCTGCGGCCCCCATCGCCCTTGTCCCTGGAGACTGCGCTGGCATGGTTACTTGGCTCGGATCTGTCCCCTTGTTGCTTCATTGGCAGGTGCTGGGGACCCCGGGCCCCCAGTGGCTGGTGCATGGTGATCGGTGGGGAGCCCCTGCCTCTCTTTGGGGCTCCTCACACCCACACAGACTTTCTCCTCCGAGGGGGGGAATTCCAAGAGACTTTCAAGAGAGTGGCCTCCCGCCCTTTCTCTCCTTGGCACCCGCACAGGGGCCGCGGTGCCCGGGGGTGACGCACGCGGGGCGGGCGCAGGCCCGCACCCACGGCGGACGCTGACTTCGCCTGGTTGGGCAAGGCTAAGGTTGCCCCGGGGGGAGGTTACTCATCCGGGGTTCAGGTAAGAGGGCCCCGGCTGCGAGGTGGCACACCCAGGGGGGACGCCGAGGAGGAAGGACGCAGCCATGCTCCCCGCCAGGAAGGCGCAGGTCCCGGCCGCCACCCGAGGCGCAGGCCGGCTGCGGCTGCTGCTGCTGCTGCTGCTCCACCAAGGTGTGTCTGTGGCCTGATTTTGGCGGGGAGGGGGGGGGAGGGCTTCTATGGCTGGGGTATCCCCACTTCCTACACAGAGGCGTGGGGGGGGAGAATTCTGGGGGCTGGGGGGCAGAGTCTCACATCTGGAGCAAAGGACTAAGAGGCAGCCCTGCCTTGCTCCCAGGGGACCGTGGAGGGGCGCCCCCGGTTCTGTTTAGGGGGAGCTATGGGAAGCACCCTCTGCCTCCTCCATCCTGAGCAAACAGTTGTGATTAGGGAGGGGTCCCTTGATGGCAGAGAACCCCCCCCCCCGCAATTCCCACAGGCATACCTGAGCTGGCACACCGTCCAGAGGGCCCCCAGATTTGTGGGAGGGCATGTCTCCCTGGGTGGGGGTGGCTTTGAACTCACTGCTGCTTGGCCTGGGACCCCCCCCTCCCCAGGAGCCCAGGCGCTGGAGTGCTACAGCTGCGTGCAGAAGGCCGATGACGGCTGCGCGCCGCACAGGATGAAGGCGGTGAAGTGCCCGCCCGGCGTGGAAGTCTGCACCGAGGCCGTGGGGGCGGTGGAGACCAGTGAGTGAACCCCTCCCACTCCCCCAGCCCAGCCGACCCAGACCCTTCCTTTGGGGGGGGGGGCTTCGGTTGGGTGACAGCGTGACCAAGCTGGGAGCGTGGTGTGAAATGAGGTACACCTGATCCATTCCCGCTCCACCTCTGACACCCCAGATCTGCTAGCCAGTGGGGCTGAGGCTGGGTCTCCATGTAGTCCCTCCCCTGTTCCTCCCGAGTGGCTAAAGCCACTCCCCCCCCCACACCGGTGACCCTGTACCTGCTTTTGTTTTGTGCTGGTACTAGGGTTTGAACTCAGGATCCCCAGCTCTTGCCTGTCTTTATGACTGAGCCACAGATAAAGGTCTCTTGCACTTTTTTACGGGTTTCAAACCAGCTTCCTAAGGAGCCAAGATTAATAAGCACTCAACTTTCAGCACCTTCTTTTCGTCAGTTTCTTGGTAGTTTTCTCTGGGTTGGTCCCAGGTCTACTTTTAGCTTTCTCCCTTCAATTCTTTTTTTTTTTTTTTTTCTTTTCTGTCCAGTCCTGGGCTTGAACTCAAGGGCCTGGGCGCTGTCCCTCAGCTTCTTTTTGCTCAAGGCTAGCACTCTACCATTTAAGCCACAGCGCCACTTCTGGCTTTTTTTCTGTATATGTGGTACTGAGGAATCGAACCCAGGACTTCATGCATGCTTGGCAAGCACTCTACCACTGAGCCACATCCCCAGTCCTCTGTCCTGTTCTGTCTGTCTGCCTGTGCCTCACGCTCCCTAGTGCTCTCTGCTCCGAGATGCCCCCTCCACCCCACCCCAAGTCCCCAAGGCCCCTGTCTCCTTCAGGGATTGGGTGTGAAGGCCCCGCCCCGAGGTTGCCCTGCCCGCTGGCTCCGCCTCCAAAGAGACCACGCCCCAAACTCATCCCGTGGCCACGCCCCCAATGCCTGGTCCCAGTAGCCACGCCCCCAGCCAGCCCTCCACGAACGCGCCCCTCCCTCTTGGCAGTTCACGGGCAGTTCTCAGTGGCAGTGAGGGGCTGCGGTTCGGGACTCCCCGGCAAGAATGACCGCGGACTGGACCTTCACGGGCTCCTGGCCTTCATCCAGCTGCAGCAGTGTGCCCAGGACCGATGCAACGCCAAGCTCAACCTCACCTCTCGCGGGCTAACCCCTGCAGGTTCGCATCAGGGTGGCTGTGGGGGCGGGGCTGGAGGCATGGGGGCGGAGCTACACCGGAGCGGCAGTCCGATGGGGCAGGGGCGGGGCTACGGCGTAGGAGGCGGGACCACCACACTTAACCACGCCCCGCGGATGGGTTCAACGGTCCTGGCACTTTTGGGGGGGAGGGGAAGTCCGGGGGCGGGGCTTGAATTCAGGTCCTGGGCTGAGTTCCTGAGCTTTTCCGCTCGAGGATGGAGCTCTCCCACACCTGGGCCACGCAAGTTCCGCGTCTGGATTTTTGCTGGTTAATCCTGTCTGGGCTGGTTTCGAACCCGGGATCCTCAGATCTCAGCTTCCTGAAGAGCTGGGATTACCTGTCGATCTTTTCCTGACGCCGCCCCCCCGCAGGCAACGAGAGCGCCTACGAGCCCAACGGGGTCGAGTGCTACAGCTGCGTGGGGCTCAGCCGGGAGCAGTGCCGGGGCTCGGCGCCGCCCGTCGTGAGCTGCTACAACGCCAGCGACCGCGCCTACACGGGCTGTTTCGACGGCAACGTCACCTTGACGGCAGGTGAGCGGCCCGGAGCTGCCCTCCTGGGAGCGGGGCATCCTGCGCGCAAGGGCGGGGCATCCCGCACGCAGGCGCGGGGCTGGGGGCTCGCAGGGAGGATCCGATCCGCCCCACATCCGACGCCACCGAGGACGGTGCTGGGGTCTGGGGGCCGGTCTTGTCCTGGAGCATCATGGGAAATGCAGCTTCTCGAGATCAAATTCTAGGCCCGGTGTCTTGACCCCCGCGGGGAGCTGGGACGTGTTGTTCTTTCTCTTTTCTTGGGCCGGTCCTGGGGCTTGAACTCAGGGCCTGGATGCTGTCCTTGAGCCTCTGTGCTCAAGGCTGGCGCTCTACCCCTTGAGCCACAGCGCCACTTGTGGCTTTTTGTTGGTTAATTGAGGATTGAGTCCCACAGACTGTCTTATACCCAGGTTGGCTTTGAACCTCGATCCTCAGCTGTGGTTCTGATTTTAAATTTGAACGGGGCTGCTGGTTGGTCCTGGGGCTTGGCTGGGATCTTTGGAGTGGGGGGGGAGCGGAGTCCTGTCCCAATCGAGCCCTTGTAGTTCGGGCTGCTCTCACTGCACTATGTGGGAAACAGGGGTCCCCCACCTGTGGAAGATTCTGGAATGGCATGGCTTCAGAGTCAGGTCCAGTTTGGGGGATGGGGTTCTTCGCTCTTCGGCTGTCAACAAGCCGACCTTCCCGTGTCCCCTCCTGCAGCGAATGTGACGGTGTCCCTGCCGGTGCGGGGCTGCGTGCAGGACGAGGAGTGCACGCGGGACGGGGTGACGGGCCCGGGGTTCACCCTCAGCGGCTCCTGCTGCCAGGGCCCGCGCTGTAACTCCGACCTCCGCAACAAGACCTACTTCTCCGCCCGGATCCCCCCGCTCGTGCTGCTGCCCGCCTCGACCTCCGCCGCGCCGGCGCCGACCACGCGGGCCGCCGCCCCCTCCTCGCGCCCCGCCTCCACCCCGGCCCCCGCCACCCGCGCCGCCGCCGCCGCCACCCCCGCCGCCGCCGCCAGCCAGCCGCCTCCCAGGGCCGCCGACCCCGAGGTCATCCCGGAGAAGGACCTCTGGTTGGAGGGAGGGGCCGCGGGCCACCAGGACCGCAGTAATGTGGAGCAGCACCCCGGAAAAGGCGGGGTTCCGAACACCCCTCATAGTAAAGGCCCCGGGGCTGCTGCGGTTGGCGTGGCGACGCTCCTAGTGGCCGCGGCCGCTGGTGTCCTCCTGTGACTTTCCGGCTAAGGAGTCTTTGCGGCCTTGGGGTCCGCGCGGCCGAGATGGCCCCCCCCCCAGCCCCGCCCTGTCCGGACAGAGATGGCCCCGCCCCTCCGGCCCGGGCTGCCCCGCCCCCGTTCGGACAGGCCACGCCCATACGGCCCCGCCCCGCCCGGACCAGGCTGCCCCGCCCCGCCCGGACCAGGCTGCCCCGCCCCTCCGGCCCGGACTGGCCCCGCCCCCGTCCTGACAGGCCCCGCCCCCGTCCGGACCGGGCTGGGGCCCCGCCCCACCCCGCCCCCAAGCTGCCCATCTTGGGCTGCACTAGCTTGCAGTTCTGGGTGGTAAACCTTTCCACAGTGTACATAGGCTACTGGGGTGTCTTAGCTTTTGGGGGGAACCCCTGCCCCCCACCCTCGCCTCCTAGCGGGCCCCAGGACAGAGTAAGGGCCCAGAGCCCGGTCCCAGGGGAGGCTTGTGGACAAGCTTCTTATTGGTGATAGGGGAGGGGCCGGGAGCGGGCGTGGCCTGTAACGGCCCCGCCCCCAGCACAGCCCTTGGCCCCGCCCCTCCACGTGGGGGGGGCTCCGGTGCTCGGCCTTCCTCGGCAGGCTCTGGCACAGAAAGACTGCAATAAAGGTTCATTGCTTTGTATAGTGCCTAGTATGGTCAGTCCCACCTGCTGTTTTTCACAATGACTTCTAGGATTGTGTGTGTGTGTGTGTGTGTGTGTGTGTGTGTGTGTGTGTGTAGGTGGGGTGTATAGGGGATGTTTTCACTCAAGGCTGGCACTCTACCACTTGAGCCACGGCTCCCCTTCCGGGGTGTGTGTGTGTGTGTGTGTGTGTGTGTGTGTGTGTGTGTGGTTAATTGGAGATAAAAGTCCCAGTGACTTGAACTTCCATCCTCAAATCTCAATCTCCTGGGTAGCTAGGATTATAGGATTGAGCCACTGGCACCCAGCCAGCTTTTCTCCCTCCCTCCCTCCCTCCCTCCCTTCTCTCTCTCCTCTCTCTCTCTTTTCCTTTTGCTGGTCCCAGAGCTTGAACTCAGGGCCTGGGCGCTGTCCCTGAGCCTCTTTGTACTCAGGGCTAGCACTCTACCACTTGAGCCACAGCGCCACTTGTGACTTCTCTTTCCTTTCCTTTCCTTTTCTTTTCTTTTTCTTTCTTTCTCTCTCTCTTTCTTTCTTTCTTTCTTTTGGTTGTATTCAGGTTTGAATTCAGGCACTTGCCCTTTCTAGGTTGGTGCTTTATCATTTGAGCCATCCTCAGACTTTTTGCTTTATTTTTCATAGGGTCTTGAGGTGTTTTTTTTTGTTTTTGCCAGTCCTGGAACTTGAACTCAGGACTTGGACACTGTTCCTGAGCTTCTTTTGCTCAAGGCTAGCACTCTACCACTTGAGCCACAGCACCACTTCTGGCCTTTTCTATGTACGTGGTACTGAGGAATTGAACCCAGGGCTTCATGCATGCTAGGCAAGCACTCTACCACCTTCCCAGCCAGGTCTTGAGTTTTTGCACATGGTTGGCCTTAAGCCCGGACCCTTGACCTCCTACCTATGGCCTTCTGTGCAGCTGAGATGACAAGCACACACCAACATGCCCAACTTTTTGATTGCGATGGGAATTTTCTTGGTAACATTTTGCCTCAAACCATGATCCTCCTGATTTCCACTTCTGGAGTTGCCCGGATTACAGGTGTAAGCCACCATGCTTGTTTTCTCCCCTTTTTGGAGACCTCATTGTGTAGGCCAGTTCAGCCTCAAACTCCAGATCTTCCTGCCTCAGACTCCTGAGCCTTGGGATTACAGGCATGCAGTACCTGCCCAGCTAACCTATGTTTCTCAATCTCTGCATGAACAGGAACTGGCTATTTCTTTTCTCCAAGCTTCAATTTCCCAATCTGTCAAATGAGGAGTAATAACAGTAGTCCTTCAAGGGGCAACTTCCTGTTGTGAAGTCCCTGTTGTGAAGTCAAAGGACATTCTAGGATGGCTCCACCTTTTCTCAGCTGTGTGATCTTGTCCAGGTTAGTTAACCTCTCTGGGTCTTGGTGCCATTCTTTTTTGAGATGAGACGGAGTAAGAGCTGCCTCCTAAGGTTGTTTGAGATTGTCATGTGTGAATACTTAGAACAGTGCCCTCTGGGAACACAAAACAGTGCTCCTGAAGACGAGGTACTTGTGAAGCTGACAAAGACTGGAGATCAGGAAATTAAGTCAACACCAATGGATTTAAAAAAAAAAGCCAGTCCTGGGGCTTGAACTTAGGGCCTAGGTGCTGTCCTGAGCTTTTTTGCTCAAGGCTAGTGCTCTACCATTTGAGCCACAGCACCAATTCCAACTTTTTGCTGGTTTATTGGAGATAAGAATCTCACCAGCTTTCCTGCCCGGGCTGGCTTTGAATCCGATCCTCAGATCTCGGCCTCCTCAGTTAGCTAAGATGACAGGCGTGAGCCATTAACACCCAGCTGTTTCTTTACTCTTACTCCTGAAACTTACTTTGCTGGGTCATATTAGCAACTTATAAAACCACATTTGACATTAGTAGGAGGAGGACAGGATTGAACTCAGAGCCTCAACTTGCTAAGCACGTGCTCTGCAACTTCTACACCTCTGCCTTTTCTGGCTTTAGTTGCTTTCTCAGGTAGGCTCTTCTATGAACATTTCCAGGGACAGCCTGGGACCACGATCCTCCTACCCCCGCCTCCTGAGTAGCTGGGATCACAGGTATACATCACCAGCTTCATCTCAGGGTTACAGACAATAGCTTCTGCTATAAAGAACACTTGTACTATAGAGCTGAAGCAATAAGGAGAGACAGACAGGCTGGGAAGGTGGCTCAGTGGTAGAGCGCTTGCCTTGCATGCATGAGGCCCTGGGTTTGATTCCTCAGCACCACATAAGCAGAAAAAGCCAGAAGTGGCACTGTGGCTTCAAGTGGTAGAGCGCTCGCCTTGAGCTGAAGAGCTGAGGGACAGCGCCCAGGCCCAGAGTTCAAACCCCATAAGTGATAAAAAAAAAAAAAGAATCTGCACACGTTCCGCACAGGTGCACCCCCCCCCCCAACATATTTTCCATCTGTGGTTAGTTGAATCTTCAGCTGTGGAACTTGTGGTTGTGGGGGATGGGCTATATTTACTCATCTAAAAGTGACCAATCTCACCAGGTGCCAATAGCTCACACCTGTCATCCTAGCTACTCAGGAGGCTGAGATCTGAGGATCACAGTTCAAAGCCAGCCTGGGCAGGAAAGTGATCCTAGAAGGGAACATGACAAATCTCTCCCTAGACTTGTTTTTCTGCCCAAGGTTGGGGCTTTGAGGTGCACACGTGGAAAACAGATTTCAACACCAGGTGGGGCTCGTTGGGGACAAGGCGGGGATGACAAGGACAAGGTGGATCAGCTGACACTGACCTTGCGAGTTCCTCTTCTTCCCAGGTGTGTGTAGTGTGCTGTGTACTTAATAAAAGGCTTATTCAATTTTAATTACCTAAACAATACAGGAGTAACTTTCCACTGTACAATATTAAAAAAACTAACAGAGAAATGAAGCGTCCATCTTTCCAGCCTTGGCCATCACCCCACCCCACTGCCTTCATTTTTTTAAAATTAACTGATTTTGGGGGCTCAGGGCTGGCCCTTAGCTTTTTCACTCAAGGCTGGTGCTCTACCACTTGAGGTACAGCTCCACTTCTGACTTTTTCCTGGTCAATTGGAGATAAGAGTCTCACAGATGGGGCTGGGAAGGTGGCTCAGTGGTAGAGCGCTTGCCTTGCATGCCAGAGGCCCTGGGTTCGATTCCTCAGCACCACATAAGCAAAAAGAAAAGAGCTAGAAGTGGCGCTGTGGCTCAAGTGGTAGAGCGCTAGCCTTGAGCTGAAGAGCTGAGGGACAGCGCCTAGGCCCAGAGTTCAGGCCCCATGACTGGATCCAAAAAACAAACAAAGAGTCTCACAGATTTTTCCTGCTCAGGCTGGCTTTGAGCCTTGATGCTCAGATCTCAGCCTTCTGAGTAGCTAGGATGACAGGCAGGAGCGGCAGTGCCCTGGTTTGGTGTTTTTCGAGCGCCCTCTGGTGGCCTGAAGGAACATTGCCGGCTGAGCACCTGCGTTCAGCTCACAGACTGTCCCAGTGTTAGCGCTGTGTGGTTGCTATGCCGCGCTCAGCTCAGCCAAATCCTAACTCAGCTAAATCCCGCAAGGGTGGGGTGTGTGGATCAGCTGTGGATGGAGACGAGGTGGGGGAAATGGGTCAAGGCCAATCTAGGAGAGAACTTTAGCCGTGGGACTTTTGTAACCCAGTGTGGAGTTTGTTAGAAGGTTAGATCTTCAGGTCATTTGCTCTTTAAATTTGGTCAGCAGGGACTTAAAAACAGCCATTTCTATTTTTCCTAAAAACGCATGTGTGCGTGCAAGCAAGCAAGCACACACACACACACACACACACACACACACACACACACACACACACACACACACACACACACACTGTGTTAGGCTCACAGGAACTTTTTTTGTCGGTTGTGGGGCTTGAACTCTGGGCCTGGGTGCTGTCCCTCAGCATTTCAGCTCAAGGTGAGCGCTCTACCACTTGAGCCACAGCGCCACTTCCAGTTTCCTGACTGGTTTATTGAAGAGTCCCACGAACTCTCCTGCTTGGGCTGGCTTTAAACTGTGATCCTTAGATCTCAGCCTCCTGAGTAGCTAGGATGACAGGCGTGAGCCACCAGTGCCCAGCTAAGACAGGAACTTTTTAAACCTTCACAGGTGGCCTGGCTACCTGCTTTCAAGCCAGGAGTGACTCTGATTGCCTTTAGAATGTTGGGCAAAGGGTGTGTGCTACAAATGCTCTGTCTACCTGCATACCTATCTATTATCTATCTGCATATCCATCTATTTACCTACATAGCTATATCCATTACCTAACTACATCTATCATCCATCTATCAACCTATCAATCATTTACCTATATATCATTTGTCAACCTGTCATCTGTCAATTATCTACCTATTTTCTATCTACTTATTTACCTATTGCCTTAAAAATCAATTTTTGCCCTTATTACCTGAGCTCTTTTGTTCAAGGTTAGCGCTCTACCACTTTGAGCCACAGCGCTACTTTTCTGGTAGTTCCCCAGAGAGAAGAGTCTCATGGACTTTCCTGCCCAGGCTGGTTTTGAACCATGATCCTCAGATCTCGGCCTGATGAGTAGTTAGGATGACAGGCATGAGCCACGAGCACTTGGCTGGACTTTTTGCCTCGGGTAAAGTGTTGGTTTGTAAATACAGATGTTGGTGTGCGCTGTGCTGACTTTCCGCAAAGCTGTGCGGTCTCTGAGCTGTGGCCGGGACCTCACCAGGTGCATGCCCAAACGCGGAGCTGCCACCCATACGTGGCAGGAAAGTCAGGGCTATAATTATTTCCATTTTATGAGCAAGGGAAATTTAGAGGTTTGCACAAGCCAGTTTCCCAGGGAAGCTGGCTGCTTGTAAAAATAATCAGACCAAATGGTTCTAGAAGCTCCCGGAACAGGAGGAGCTGGTTGGGTTGCCTGGTAGCAGCAGATTAGGACAGCTGTGTGGTGGAGGGGCTAGGCTGGTCCCAGCTGTTGCTTTTGTTAGGACCTTGGGCTTGGGGGTTCTTGGGGTGACCTCCCTGCCTCCCCCGGGGGCTCACAGGCCTTGAGAAGCTGAGTGGATAATAACACTAGAGATTTTATGGCCAAAATGTTGCCATCTGCCTTTCAATCCTGCCCTGAGAATTGTCACTGAAGACTTTTGGGGTTTTCCCCTCGGGAATTGATATTTGGAAGTGATCGCCCCTAATTGCATGGGAGGGATGGGATGGAAGGGGTGAATGTGTTCAAAGTGAACTGTTGTGCTCAAAGTGAACGTCACTGTGAAACATCCTCACATTACAAATGTACATGCACTCAAAGTCATTTTTAAAAAGGTATTTCCAGCCGGGTGCCGGTGGCTCACGCCTGTCATCCTAGCTGCTCAGAAGGCTGAGATCTGAGGATCGAGGTACAAAGCCAGCTCAGGTAGGAAAGTCCATGAGACTCTTATCTCCAATAAACCACTAGAAAACTGGAAGTGGTACTGTGGCTCAAGGGGTAGAGCGCTTGCCTTGAGCTGAAGAACGCAAGGACAGCGCCCAGGCCCAGAGTTCAAGCCCCACAGCTGACCAAAAAAAAAAAAAGTTATTTCCACAAATTTTGTAAGTTGTACAAATTTATATAACTACTTACAGATATTTTGTGGTGTCTGCTGTAAGCCAAGTGAAATTAAGCAGGATGTGGCTATCAAAGGGTGTGGATTAATCTGGTCTCTGTCATCCCCTAGAAAAGGGGCTTGAACGTAGAAATAATATTGAAATAAAATTTTCTAAAAAACAAAACAAGGTATTTCCAGAGTGTCAATTTCCTTGCATTTCAGCAATCAGTGATTACCTGTGTCTTAGTTGGGAGAGACTCAGTTTGTTTTTTGTTTTGTTCTGTTTTTCCAGTCCTTAGTGCTGTCCCTGAACTTCTTGTGTGCAAGGCTAACACTCTACCACTTGAGCCATAGCTCCATTTCTGGTTCAGGGATAGTCTCATGGACTTTTCTGCCTGGGCTGGCTTTGAACCACAAGCCTCAGATTTCAGCCTCCTGAGTAGCCAGAATTAGAGGTGTGAGTCACCAGCACCCAGTTTGTTCGTGCTTTTTGTAGAAAAGAATTCATACAACTCTGGCATCTTGTGTGTCTGCCTTATTTCACTCACCAAGCCACAGAGGGAAACAGGGCCATTTTCACTGGAGAAACGGACAAGTCAGAATTTCCACTCTGCCAGGCCTCCTAGGAAATAACACACACAGATCATCTGGCTTTGCCTTCATGTGATCTGGGAGTGGCGCGGGGACGGTGGCCTGGTAGAGAGAAAAAAACAATCACATAGTCAAAGGAGCTAAGTTCACACGCTGGCTCTGCGCCTAGCTCTGGTTCTCAATCCATTTTGTCTCTTTTGAGATGTGGCCTTGCTATGCAGCCCGTGCAGGGATGGCAGGCAGGCCTCACCACATGCAGCCTTGTCCATATGTTGTGTAAATGTAAGCAACTCGCTCTTGTTTTCCAGAGGTCAGATACTCCGTCTGGAAAATGTGGGATGGGGGAAGCCAATGCTAAAATGCTACTTCTAATTTTTTTTTTGTCTGTTGTGGGGCTTGAACTTGGGGCCTGAGCACTGTTCTTGGGCAATTTTGCTAAAGGCTAGTGCTCTACCACTGTGAGCCACAGCTCCACTCCCGATTTCCAGGTGGTTCATTGGAGATAAAGAGTCTCTTGGATGTTCCTGCCTGAGCTGGCATCAAACAGTGATCCTCAGATCTCAGCCTCCTGAGTAGCTAGGACGACAGGCGTGAGCTATCAGCGCCCAGCTCCACTTCTGATCTTGAGGCGCACACACAAATCACAGGCAACTTTTATTGGGCATGTCGGATACACGCAGTGTGTCTTTCTCCTGTCCAGCATACCCATGGCCTGGCGGGGCAGCGGCGGAGGTGCACAGTGGAAGCGGACACGCTGAGCTCCAGCGCTCGGGACACCTCCTCAGAGAAGGTGGGCCAATGGCCCCAGCAACGGAGTCAGCAGCTGTAAACCCCGTCCTGGCAGGCACGGCCAGGGCGCCCTGCTTTCAGCCCTTCGTTGCAGGAAAGAGGGACGCGGGCACACTTCTGACACAGAGAGGGGTCCTATCATGGAGAATCCGTTCATCAGCTCGCAATGGGTCATGCTTGAACAGCCTTTGACCTCCACAGGCGAGTCAATGCCTTCTGTGGAACAAGAAGGGATGGGAGACATGCGTGTTAGGGACTCACAGGGAAATCCTGAGGGGCGGAGCCACCTGACGCGCATGTCACTTTACCTCCTGAGAACATGATTCTCCCTGCGTAGCATCCATTTATGCCGCGGGGACAAGGCAGAGAGGAAACATTGAAACAGGATCCCAGAGCCACGCAGGTGGGGCAATGGATGCTCGTGGACGTATTGGACACTGGAGGGGATGAGAGCAATAGTTAAGAGCCGTGGGCCTGGGAAGGTGGCTCAGTGGTAGAGTGCCTGCCTTGCGTGCATGAGGCCCTGAGTTCGATTCCTCAGCACCACATAAGCAGAAAAAGCCCGAAGTGGCGCTGTGGCTCAAGTGGTAGAGCGCTAGCCATGAGCTGAAGAGCTGACAAAAAAAAAAAAGAAAGAAAAGGAAAAAAGCCAGATGTGGCGCTGTGGCTCAAGTGGTAGAGCACTAGCCTTGAGAAAAAGAAGCTCAGGGGACAGCGCTCAGGCCCTGAGTTCAAGCCCAGGACTGGCAAAAAAGCAAATTAAAAAGGGCGGTGTCCTGTCTCATTGCTTTTTCTCCCCCACATCTGTCCTGCTGCCGTCTTGCTGCAGCTGCCCCATCCACCGCTGGCTCCTAGGCCACCTGTCACAATCTCCTCTATAGCATGTGGACGCCTGCTTAGGTGGGGAGATGGAGGGCTGACAAAGGCGCCTTTGGACAGCTGGGTCTCCAAGGAAAAAGACACATGAACAATACACAATGGTGCAGCTCGGAGCTGTGTGAAACACAGATACCCTTTTTTTTTTTTTTTTTTGATAGGTCCTGGGGCTTGAACTCTGGGCCTGGGCGCTGTCCCTCAGCTCTTCAGCTCAAGGCTAGCGCTCTACCACTTGAGCCACAGCGCCACTTCTGGCTTTTTCTGCTTATGTGGTGCTGAGAAATCAACCCCAGGGCCTCATGCATGCAAGGCAAGCGCTCTACCACTGAGCCACCTTCCCAGCCCCTACAGTAAATATCTTGGAAGAGGTGAAGTCTGCGTGGCAAAGGAGAATGGATGCAGATGGATGATATGAAAATGAGGTGGAGGTGGAGGAAGCAAAAGAAACAGCAAAAACAAAGGCTGGAGGATGTGAGCCCACCTGAGATCTGAAGATCCATTAAGTTGTGGAGTGGAGAGCTGGAGGTGGGGCTCAAAGGGTAGAGCACCTGCCCAGCAAACATGAGGCTCTGAGTTCAAACCCCAGTACCATAAAAAGCACAAAATAAACCAAAAAAAAACCTCATAGAGTTTATATTCAGATGATAGACACAAGTAAGACTGCATCGTTTTGTTTTGTTTTTTTTTGTGTCAGTACTGAGGCTTGAACTCAGGGCCTGGGCGCTATCCCTCAGCTCTTCAGCTCAAGGTTAGCACCCTACCACTTGAGCCACAGCACCACTTCCAGCTTTTTCTGCTTATGTGGTGCTCAGGAATTGAACCCAGGGCCTCATGCATGCAAGGCAAGCACTCTACCACTGAGCTACCTTCCCAGCTCCACTGGGATAGCTTTGAGCTAAGATCTTTAGAGCTCAGCCTTTTGAGGATATAGGATTATAGGCCTGAATCACTGGCACCTGTTGTTTTTAACAGCCCACACTGCTGGGTGCTGGTGGCTCATGGCTCCTAGCTACTCAGGAGACTGAGGTCTGAGGACTGTAGTTGAAAGCCAGCCTGGGCAGGAAAGTCCGTGGGACTCTTACCTCCAACTAAACACCAGAAAAATGAAAGTGGTGCTGTAGCTCAAGTGGTAGAGCACTAGCCTTGAGCAAAAAAGAGCTTAGGGACTAAGTTCAAGTTCCATGACCGACAAAAAATTAAAAATTAAAAAAAATATAAGTATATATATTATATATCTCCATGATTAAGGATTCTACTTATCAGTCCCAGATCCAACACAATAAATGAGAGAAAAGACAGAGCCAGAACTGAAGGTATGTCTCAAATGTTAGAGCCCTTGCTATGTTCAAACCCTGGTACTGGCACTAAAAAAATAACAACAACAAAAACTAAATAAAAAGAGGTCCTGGCAGCTCTCTGCTCTGAGCAGTCCTTAAGACTCCAAAGGAAACAATGTAGAACAGGATAGGTCATCAGCTGGGAGGGGTGTGTGTGTGTGTGTGTGTGTGTGTGTTGTGTGTGTGTGTGTGTGTGTGTGTGTCCATGGCATTTCTCTTGGCACTTGTGTGTGTGTGTGTGTGTGTGTGTGTGTGTGTGTGTCCATGGCATTTCTCTTGGCACTTATCTCCCGCCTTGTTGGGCACCTGGGATCTCCTCTCGTGGTTTCCAAATCCGTGACAAGTACTTTATGTCGTTGCACAGGGAAATGTCGCAGTAGTTGCTGTAGGAGACTACAATCAGGCCGGGAAATTCTGAGTTCTGGATGTAAGTCACAGCTTTGGATCCTTCAGAGACACAGCCTTTAGTAGCCAAAATAGCTATCCTGGATCCTGTGAGGAGACAGGAGGGAGGAAGGGAGAGGGGAGGGGGGGCCTGCTTGGCCCGGGTAGAGGAAACAACATGATTACCCCCTCGCACTCAACTGCCCTGTCTCATTTTACCTGATTTGATCATTATTACTGTTTCTTGGCAAAGCAACTGGTTGTCCTCACATGTCTCAATCTTCTCTGTGAACCAGGTCACTGGGAAGTTTTCCACAGTCCTCAACTTACCCACATGACAATACAGATCGTTAGCCACTGGGGGGAAAAGTAAGAACGATAAGCACTTGACCTTCTGGTGTGCAGCAAAAGGCACACTTTTTTTGGGGGGGGGGGACTTGAACTCAGGGCCTGGGCACTTTCTCAGCTTTTTATATACTCAAGGCTAGCACTCTACCACTTGAGCCACAACTCTACTTCAGGCTTTTTACTATTAACTGGCAATAAGTCTCACAGGTTTTCTTGTCTGGGCTGGCTTTAAACTGTGAGCCTCAGATCTCAGCCTCCTAAGTAGCTAGGATTACAGGCCTTCCTTCTTTCCTTTTTTTAATTAAAAATTTTTTTCTTTCTTTTTTGTTGGTTGTGGAGCCTGAACTCTGGGCCTGGGCACTGTCCCTGAGCTCTTCAGCTCAAGGCTAGTGCTCTACCACTTGAGCCACAGCACCACTTCTGGTTCTTTCTGTTAATGTGGTGCTGAGGAATCGAACCCAGGGCCTTATGTATGTGAGGCAAGTACTCTACCACTGAGCCACCTTCCCAGCCCAAAGGAGAAGGAGTCTTTTTTTTTTTTTTTTTTTTTTTTTGGGGGGGGGGTGTCGGTCATGGAGCTGGAACTCTGGGCCAGGGTGCTGTCCTGGAGCTCTTCAGCTCAAGGCTAGCGATCTACCACTTGAGCCACAGCACTACTTCATTTTTTGTTTTTGTTTTTGCCAGTCCTGGGACTTGAACTCAGGGCCTAGGCACTGTCCCTGATCTTTATTTCTCTCAAGGCTAGCACTTGAGCCATAGCACTACTTTTAGGCTTTTTCAGCTTATGTGGTATTGAGGAATGGAACCCAGGGCCTCATGCATACTAGGCAAGCACTCTACCACTAGGCCACATTCCCAGCCCTTCCTTTTTTTTTTTTCTATTTGTCTGAGACTGGGATTTGAACTCACTGATGCTTGTGTTTGATCACTGGCTGGCACTCTACCATTTGAGCCATACCTCCAACCCTCTCTTTTTTTTTTTGGTTGTGGGGCTTGAACTCTGGGCCTGGACACTGTCCATGAGCTTTACAGCTCAAGGCTAGCGTTTTACCACTTGAGCCACAGAACCATTTCCGGTTTTCTGGTGGTTCATTGGAGATAAGAGTCTCACGGACTTTCCAGCCTGGGCTGGCTTTGAACTGCGATCCTCAGATGTCAGCCTCCTGAATAGCTAGGATTTCAGGCATGAGCTACTGATGCCCGGCACTTTTTTTTTTTTAAACACTACTCCATCCTCTGTGAGCTGGCTGCCCATGCACACACCGGTCAAGGAGGCTCTTAGCAGGAAGAGGAACAGCAGATAGTGGATGTGGAGGCCTCCCATGGCTTCTTGCAGAGAGGTTAGGAAAAATCGAGCAGGATCTGTGATTTAATGGAGCAAAGGTAACATTTCAGCCCACATTTAGTACCATGAATCTAGGCTTCCAGTGAATGCTGGCTTTGGGGTAGAATTGTATGGTATATTAATCCGGGGCTGCTAAATGAAGTCTGATTCTTTTTTTTTTTTTTTTGGTCTGGTCGTGGGGCCTGAACTCTGGGCCTGGGCGCTGTCCCTCACCTCTTCAGCTCAAGGCTAGCGCTCTACCACTTGAGCCACAGCGCCACTTCTGGCTTTTTTCTTATGTGGTGCTGAGGAATGGAACCCAGGGCCTCAGGCATGCAAGGCAAGTGCTCTACCACTGAGCCACCTTCCCAGCCCCTGAAGTCTGATTTTAAGTAGTTGGTGAGCTAGAGCAAAGTGACAACTTATCATGCCTCATGTTCTGCATATGTGTTCTCAGATCCAGCCACCTATTCCCTAACACCAAGAAATCCAGCAATTTCATACTCTTCCACTTCTGTGCACAGATGAGGCCGAAAGACCCCTTTCCCTTTTCCTCAGACCCTGCAATCCACGTTTAAATTGATTCTCAAGGTCCCAAATCTCAGGATCTCAGCCCCTCCCTCTGTGGCACGTGAGATTCTGAGAGCCTGGACCCGCCTTCTTTTCCCAAAGGACGCATGATTGTGGGGCCCCAAGTTAGACGCCTGGCTCCTCTCAAACCCAGGAATCAAGGCAGCCAGCTCCTTCTCCCTCACACCTACGATTTCTTTCAGACCCAGGAATCCAGGCCCAGCTTCCTCCTCAGACCCTAGGGGTCCAGACCCTAGCCTCCTCCCTCAGACCCAGGGGTCCAGATCCCAGCCTCCTCCCTCAGACCCAGGGGTCCAGACCCTAGCCTCCTCCCTCAGACCCAGGGGTCCAGACCCTAGCCTCCTCCCTCAGACCCAGGGGTCCAGACCCTAGTCTCCTCCCTCAGACCCAGGGGTCCAGGCCCCAGCCTCCTCCCTCAGACCCAGGAATCAAGACCCAGCCTCCTCCCTCAGGCCCAGGGTCCAGATCCCAGCCTCCTCCCTCAGACCCAGGGGTCCAGACCCTAGCCTCCTCCCTCAGACCCAGGGGTCCAGACCCTAGCCTCCTCCCTCAGACCCAGGGTCCAGGCCCCAGCCTCCTCCCTCAGACCCAGGGGTCCAGGCCCCAGCCTCCTCCCTCAGGCCCAGGAATCAAGACCCAGCCTTCAGCCTCAGGCCCAGAAGTCCAGACCCCAGGCCTCTTCCCTCAGACTCGAGGATCCACGGCCTAGCCTCCTCCCTCAGACCTAGAGTCCGTGGCTGCTTCTCTCCCCTGCGCCCCTCTTTAAGCAGTGGCGTTCCCGCCCGCTACCAAATGACCTCACCGAACCTCAAAGGATGTTCTGGAGCCTTCTGCACTGCGGCTCAGTGAGTTACGGAGGGCGGGGCCAGAGGGGACACTCGAAGTCTTATTGGCTCGCACGAGAGATTTTTTTTTTTTCAGCCAATGAGCTCAGAGAGTCGCTGCATCTGATTGGCTCCTGGACAGCCAATTACTGGTAAGCCCAGATGGTGGCACGCATGCGCAGCAGTCAAACGGGCAAAAAGGGGGTTGGAGCTGAGCTCTGCGCATCCCCGCGCATCCCCGCGTGCCCGCGCGTCCCCGCGTGCCCGCGCATCCCCGCGTGCCCGCGCGTCCCCAGCGGAAACGCTTGACTCTCACTGCCAGACCACATGGCCTGTCCAGACAGCCTCGCCTCTTCTGAACCCTCCACGTTCGGCTGCCCAGGCCTCCTCCACGGCCTCCTCAGGGTCCCTGTAGGGGTCTCTATAGTTTATGCTTTAAGCCGGGCGCCGGTGGCTCACACCTGTCATCCTAGCTACTCCGGGAGGCTGAGATGTGAGGATCATAGTTCAAAGTCAGCCTGGGCAGGAAAGTCCATGGCACTCTTATCTCCAATGAACCAGCCCCAAAACACAGGTGGAGACTTTGCCAGTAGAGGATGCTAGAGGGAGACTGTGGAGGAAGAAGGGCTAGGCCAGCCCTGGGGGTAGAGATTGCATCCCAGACCACCCCCCACCCCCAGTCCCCCTTTGCTCTTCTGGCCTCGCCCTCTGTGATGGTATCGGGGCCTGAACTGGAGGCCTCAACCTCTTAGCCTCTTCAGCTCAAGACTGGTGCTTGACCACTTGAGCCGCATCTCCACTTGTAGCTTTTGGTGCAGGTTAATCCTGGATTGGTCTTCTCAGGCTGGCTTCTAACCTTGATTCTCAGTGTCTTCACACCTAGGACCTGAGCAACTGTGTTATCTCCACTTTCATCTTCTCCTGATGATTTATGAACTACTGGTGGTTCCAGGCAGTAGGAGAATTGACTTCATTGTTGTTATCACACATTGAAACGACTGAGGAATGGTTCAGAGAAACTGTGGCCTTGTGTACGGAGGCCTCGGACTTCCAACTTGACCAGGGGAAAATGTGGATGCTTAGGGAAAAGGGGATGGATTGTGGGGTCTCCTTCCTCTTCCTGGATTCAGTTTTCTTCCCTTTCTCCTTCTTGGTGCTGTGAGTGATTTCTAGGGGAATTGCATCAATGGGATCTCCCACCCTATAGCTTTCAACTGCATAGACATCAGGGAGCCCCAACAGGAGAGTGAGGCTGGAATATGATTCCTCCCCCCAATAATCTTTTCCTATAGAGTATAGGCTGCATACACTTTTCAGCCTGAAGTCAGAATTCCTGTAAGGTGAACTGTCCCCTCTCTCTTCCACCTATAGCTCTCGTTCCTCCCCTTTTCTGGCCTAGGATGCAAATGAACAGCACTAGGAAAGTGCTAACCTTTTTGTCCACTCCCTAACCTATATCAACAATCTTACTACTTCCCCTTCACTTGGTGCTAAGGAAGCAAGTACCCTTTGTATCCTTACCTCCTAAGTCATGGTAAAACCCAAATGCAAGGCATGATGAAGATACACGTCTCTCACTGAATGAACATCTTCCCCTGACACAGATGAATCCCAGCATTGGGAGGAAGAACGGGGACTTGGTTATCAGACACATGTGGCCAGTCCTTTACTGTCCACTGCCCCACAAGGCAAGTTCAGTTGCTCCTGGGCTCTTAGTGTATTATCAGGTGGACAGAGTACGTGTGGGTGCATGTGGAGGGTGAACATATATAGAGGGGATGGGAAGATCATTTCAGGTAGAATCACAGTGAGCTGGGTCCCTGTCTCTGGAATCCTAGATACTCAGAAGGCTGAGATGTGGTTCAAAATGAACCCTGGGCAGGAAAGGCTGTGAGATTTCATTCCAATTATCCAGCAAAAAAAAAAAAGAGAGAGAGCTGAGAATATGGCCTAGTGGTAGAGTGCTTGCCTACCATGCATGAAGCCCTGGGTTTGATTCCTCAGTACCACATAGAGAAAGCCAGAAGTGGCACTATGGCTCTAGTGGTAGTGTTAGCCTTGAGCAAAAAGAAGCTCAGGGACAGTGCCCAGGCCCTGAGTTCAAGCCCCAGGCTGGCAAAAAAAATCCCAGAAGTGGAGTTGTGGCTCAAGTGGTAGAGCACTAGTCTTGAAGGGAAAAAGTTAAGTGAGAGCTTGAAGCACAGAAGCAGGGGGGTGGGGGAGAGACAGAATGAAAGGAAATGGAGACCTCAATAGATCAGATCAGACTTTAATCACTGATGCACAGGGGTGCTAAGGACCACCAGGCAGATCAGAAGTACAAGGGGCGCAGGGTACGTGTATGTGTGTGTGTGTGTGTGTGTGTGTGTGTGTGTGTGTGTATGTGTGTCCATCCAGGTTTATTTTTGTTGGTTTTTTTGTCGGTTGTGGGACTTGAACTCTGGGCCTGGGCACTGTCTTTGAGCTATTTTTTTTTTGCTTATGTGGTGCTGAGGAATCGAACCCAGGACCTCAGGCATGCAAGGCAAGCGCTTTACCACTGAGTCAACTTCCCAGCCCCAGTCTTTGAGCTTTTTAATTCAAGTCTAGCACTGTATCACTTGAGCCACAGCGTCACTTCTGGCTTTCTGGCACCTGGCAGGTTCAGGGTTTAAGTATTTTAAAAAATGAGGAAGTTATTAGTTGTGAAATTGGGCAGCTGCTGCAGACAATCTCATGAGGAGCAATCTACACTTGTAGAAAGGCGGAGGGGAGGTTTGTTCTGAGAACTGGCCCTTGGGTGGCGGGGAGATCAGTGGGCTGTGGGATTAGGAGAGCAATGCGGGCTCCTGTCACCCAGATCACAGGGAAATAAGATTAGCAGGAAGGGAAAAGCTCATCACACCCAAAGCCAGCCCCAGTCTCCAGACTGGAGCCAGGCAGGCGCAAAGGGCAGCGCTGTTAAGTTGGAAATTCTTGGCCTTTTTGGCCTCCTTATTCTCAAAGCTTTCTGTCACCGAGAAGATCCCGATGTTCTGGATGCGGTTCAGCAAGGATGCGGAGTTTGGGGCCATGCAGCCCTGAATGGTCAGCGGGGAGGAGAGTCCGCCTGCAGGATGAAATTCCAGTCAGGAGGCCGGGAGCTGGTGGCTCACGCCTGTAATCCTAGCCACTCAGGAGGCTGAGATCTGAGGATCGTGGTTCAAAGCCAGCCCGGGCAGGAGAGACCGTGAGACTCCTATCTCCAATAAACCACCAGAAAACCGGAAGTGGCGCTGTAGCTCAAGTGGTAGAGCGCTCGCCTTGAGCTGAAGAGCTGAGGGACAGAGCCCAGGCCCAGAGTTCAAGCCCCACGACCGACAAAAAAAAAAAAAAAAAAGAAAAAAAAAAAAAAGAAAGAAAAAAAAAAAAGAAATTCCTGTCAGGGAGGGGTGCACTTTAGCAGCGGTCAAAGGAGTCGGGGTGCACACTGCCTGCCTCCTCCCTTACACGCAAGATTCAAGGGCCTGGCTCCCCCCACCGCAGATCCAGTTCAGGTCCCCAGATCCTCATTTCTCAGTCCCAACGGACCAGATCCCAGTACAATTCTTTTTTTGGGTGAAGGTACTATGGCTTGAACTCAGGGCCTAGGCACTGTCTGTCAGCTTTTATTGCTCAAGGCTAGTGCTCTACCACTTGAGAAACAGCTCCATTTGCCTTTTTTGGGGGAGTGGGGTGGGGTGGGGGTGATTCATTGGAGATAAGAGTCTCATGGACTTTCCTGCCCTGGCTGGTTTTGAACCACAATCTTGAGATCTCAGCCTCCTGAGTAGCTAGGATTACATGCGTGAGCCACCTACATCTGGCCCCAGTATTATTCTTTCTATTTGTTTGTTTTTGCTAGTTCCTGGGGCTTGAACTAAGGGCCTGGGTGCTGTCCCTGTGCTTCTTTTGCTTAAGGCTAGCACTCTACCGCTTGAGCCACAGCGCCACTTGTGGCTTTTCCTGTGTATGTGGTACAAAGGAATCCCAGGGCTTCACACATGCTAGACAAGCACTCTACCACTAAGCCAAACTCCCAGCCCCCCAGTACTATTCTTTTTCTTTCTTTCTTCTTTTTTTTTTTTGTCGGTCATGGGGCTTGAACTCTGGGCCTGGGCGCTGTCCCTCAGCTCTTCAGCTCAAGGCTAGCGCTCTACCACTTGAGCCACAGCGCCACTTCCGGCTTTTTTCTTTTTGCTTATGTGGTACTGAGGAATCGAACCCAGGGCCTTGAGCATGCAAGGCAAGCACTCTACCACTGAGCCACCTTCCCAGCCCACTCACCTCCAAACATTTGGAAGTTTCCTCTGTAGCAGTGGGTGACGCTCTTAGGACAGGTGACAAGTGTGGATCTGGAAGAGCATGAGCCAAAGATCTGCACACAGGCAGGACACTGCACGTCTCCTGGCACAGGGGGAGCTGGGGAGCACAGAGTAGGTTGGAGGTACACAGCTCTGCTTCTCAGCTGCAGCCACCCACCGGATCCCCAAGCACAGAGGTCCCCACAGGCCCCTGCACATCATACCTCGCTGAAGGGACGAAAGCAGGACACTGCTGCTGTTGGCGTTGTTGCACAAGTTTGAGGAGCAGAACCGGCTGTAGGAAGCCACCAGAATTCCGGGGGGCCGAGAATGGATGGAGACGCCCTGTGACTCCTGTCCCCTGGCGACCCCGCAGCCTTTGCTCCCCGCCAGGATTGCACTGGGTCCTGGGGGAGGAAGAAAGCTAGAACTGGGCCGGGTGCTCGCTCCATGGAGGGTAAATGCAATCCCTCGTTAGAATGGTGCAGGCCAGCTTGGTGTTGGTGGCTCAGTCCTGTCATCCTGGCACCTGAGGCTGAGCGCTGAGGATCGAAGTTCCAAGGCAAGCTGGGGGCAGGTGGCTCACGCCTGTAATCCTAGCTACTCAGGATGCTGAGATCTGAGGATCGTGGTTCAAAGCCAGCCCGGGCAGGAAAGTCCATGAGACTCTTATCTCCAATTAAAACAAAACAAAACAAAAAACCAACGAGAAAACCAGAAGTGGCGCTGTGGCTCAAGTGGTAAAGCACTGGCCTTGAGCTGAAGAGCTGAGGGGCAGTGCTCAGGCCCAGAGTTCAAGCCCCACGACCAACAAAAAAAGTTCCAAGCCAACCCTGGTAGGAAAGTCTGTGAGGTTCTTATCTGCAAACTAACCAGCAAAAAGTCAGAAGTAGAGTGTGGTTCACGTGATAGAGCACCAGCCTTGAGTACTAAAGTCCTGATGGATACATAGAGACACACACATCAGTTTAGTGTCTGGTGAAGACAGATAAATGAGTTGCCATTCAGGTTCCTATGTGTGTGTGTGTGTGTGTGTGTGTGTGTGTGTGTGTGCGTGCGCGTGTGCATGCCTGTGCCTGTGTGCTGGTCTTGGGGCTTGAACTCTTTCCCTGAGGTTTTTTTTTTTTTTTGTTGTTGTTGTTGTTCAAGACTAGTATTTTACCAATTGAGCCACACTTTCAATTCTGGCTTCTTGCTGGTTAATTGGAGATAAAGAATCTCCAGGACATTCCCATCCAGGCTGGCTTTAAATCATGATCCTCAGATCTCAGCCTCCTGAGTAGCTAGATTACAGGCGTGAGCCACCAGCGCCCAGCTTGTCCTCAGTGTTTTAATCAGGGGACACCAAGGTGCAGAGAAAGGCTGTGATGGATGGAGATATACAGACATGAGGGGAAGTGGGGGACAGAATACAGAATACAGAGAAGGGGCATGCTGGACACAATACAGGGGTGAGGGCCTCACTATGCCCTCCCAACCCCTCCTCTCATGCACATACCTACGTCGATGAGTAGCAGTGTCTCCTGACACACCTCCCCAACATTGCATGTCTGCTTCCCATTTGCACTCCAATCTTCAGGGTCTTGGTTAAAGCCACTGCCAGACTGCAGCGTGACTCCCTGGAAACACGTCAGAGCATCTGGGGGTTCAAGGAATCACAGGACTTAGGTGAACCAGGGAAGTCACAAACAGATCACGTGGGGTCCCAGCCTCGCACGTGCTGGGTGGGTGAGAAGCAGCTGCCTCGCTGGGCCCGTGGCCTCCATGGATGCCTTTCAGCCCTGTGGTCTTCCCCAGGGCTGCGGGGCAGGGCCAGGTCTTGCTGTCCCCGGCTGGGGCTGGGGCTCACCTGACCGGGGACCGCAGCTCTCACTCACATCCATGACCCCGATGGTCTGGGTCCCATTGAAGAGGTTGCAGCCCGGCCTGGGCAGGCAGCCCTGTACCCTCAGAGTGCTGAAGATCCCTCCTAGAGCAGAGGAAAGAGGAGAGACATGGAGAGGCTGACACAAAGACCATCCAAGTCTCCCAGGGAAGGCCAGCAACCTGCTTACCCCTCTGGGTCCCATGCCGTGCCTCAGTTTACCCTTATTCCCCAGACACCCAGATCTGAATGTGCAGTGCCCCCCCCAATGTGGTCACCACGGGGCCAGATTTACCTCCCCTGAGGCTGAGGGTGCCATCGTAGCAGTGAGTGTACCCCGCGGGGCAGATGTGTTCCCGTGAGTCCTCAGGACATGGCTGGCCTCTGGAGAAGCAGACTGGGCAGCGTAGGGTCCCTGGGGCTGGGGAGGGGACAGGTGCAGTGAGTGAGGCACTGAGGGGCTCTGGTTTGCATGGTACTTGCCCTTTCCTCCATCCTCACTATGCTGGCCTGAAGAATCAAGTTGTCAGACCCGCCAATCGCCCTCCTGTGCACCTGTCAGGCAGGCCAGCGTGTGTCACGTGACTGAGCAGGGGCACAGGGCCTGGGAGAGCCGCAGGGATGCCGGGGGCTGAGGGCAGGAGGGGTCCTGGGGTCTCTAGTGTGGCTGGGCAGGGGCAATGACAAGGAAGGAAGGGAGGAAGGAAAGAAGGAAGGACGGATGGACAGACTAGGGGTATCACCCACACGTTCCAATAAACAGGAAAGGAAGACGGGGTTGGAGACGTGGCTCAGGTGGTAGAGCCTCATCCAAGGAGCAAAAAGCATCAGATATGGAGTTTGAGGACTGATCTGCCACAAAAAAGAGACAAAGGAGCCAGGCGCCGGTGGCTCACACCTGTAATCCTAGCTACTCAGGAGGCTGAGATCTGAGGATCGCAGTTCAAAGCCAGCCCGGGCAGGAAAGTCCATGAGACTCTTATCTCCAATAAAAACCACTAGAAGACTGGAAGTGGTGCTGTGGCTCACGCGGTAGAGTGCTGGCCTTGAGCTGAAGAGCACAGAGACAGCACCCAAGCCCAGAGTTCAAGCCCCACGACCAACCAAAAAAAAAAAAAAAGAGAGAGAGAGAGAGAGAGAGAGAGACAAAAGAAGACAGTGTTGTCCTAGCCACAAAACATTCCACAGTTGAGAAACCCAAAGCAAAGTTCTGTTCAATAACAGGCAAGAGTAGATTGGTACAGGCCAAGTGTGCCATTAACAAAGCATAATTCAGGATGATGATTCAGGGTCAAGTCCAGCATCTGAGGCTGGTAGATCCACAGAGGATACATCCTAACCAAGTACCAGTGGCTCACACCTGTAATCCTAGCTACTCAGGAGGCTGAGATCTGAGGATCGCAATTCAAAGCCAGCCTGGGCAGGAAAGTCTGTGAGACTCTTATCTCCAGTTAACCAGAAGAAAACCAGAAGTGGCCCCGTGGCTCAAGTGGTAGAGCACTTGCCTTGAGCCAAAGAGCTTAGGGACAGTGCCCAGGCCCAGAGTTCAAGCCTCACAATCTACAAAAAGAAAAAAAAAAGGTACATCCTGTTTGTAGGGACAGGACACTTGCAAGGAGTGGGGAGTCCTGGGGTACAGAGGACAGAGTGAGGAAGGGTGAAGGCAGAGGGACCAGAGAGGGCAGGCAAGCAGTGTGAGGGGAGCCTGGAAGGGGGGGGGGGTATGGCTGCCATCCAGCCAGGGAGTGTCTGCAAGTTATGAAGCCCTGTGTGCTCACTTCCACCCCTGAGGCCTGTGCTCATTTCCTCCCCGCAGAGCGGCACTCTCCTTCTGAATTTTCTGTTTGCCCCTGGCACCTGTGTCAGGGGGCGGAGCCCAGAGGGGCACGGTGCTTGCCAGGCCATTGCAGAAGTTCCCATGTCTGCACACCAGGCTGTAGGAGACCACAGAGAGCCCTGGGCCCAGCCTGTGCTCCATGACGCTGGCCTCTTGGTCCTGGGCGGCGGTGCAGCCTTTGGAGAGCGCCAAGTACACCTGAGGCCCTGCAGGGGGAGGAAGGCGACAGACTGGAGGGAAAGCTGGACTCCACCCCTGTCACCTCCACACAGGCTGTGTGTGTGTGGGGAGGGGACTCTGGGAACCCAATGCTTTCAGCCAGCAGGACAGAGGACAGGGCTCCTGGGATTTGAAGAGGGGTCTCCAGGCGCCCCCTGAAGCTGGATGCTGGAGGGCAGAAGGGAGGCAGAGCGGATGGGGGGAGGGCGGCCTCTGGGGGGAGACCCCATCTCACCATTCTCCACAATCATCAGGGTGTCTTGGCAGCCCTCGCCTGCCTCGCAGGTCTGGTGCCCTGTTGTCCACCGGAGGGGCAGCTCAGATATGCCCTTCACGATCTCCAGAGTCCCCTTCTGGCATTCCAGGGGCTGTGCATCTGAGATGGGGATGGCAGATCCATCTCAGCGGGTCCCCCCTCCCCCCTCCACCTCAGCCAGCGCCCAGTGCTGGCTCAGCCTCTAGCAGTGGGACCTCACTCACCAGGGGCCACAAGCTGACCTGTGCAGAGCATGCTCCTGCTGCCCCAGCCCCCGTCCTCCCATCTCCCAGTCTAGTGGCAGAGGGGTGTTGGCTGGAACCAACTCTCTCCTTGCAACTCCAAGACTCCATGGTGACATGGACAGGGGAGGAAACTGAGGCAGGGCCAGGGATCATCCTGCTCTCAAGGGGAGTGAAGACTCCTATTGGACCTCCTTTATTTGGGGTGGGGTGGGGTGGGATAGGGTCATGGGCCCAGAATGGGAACTCAGGCACTGAGTGCTGTCACTGAGCCTTTTTTTTTCTTTTTTCTCAAGGCTGGTGTTCTACCACTTGAACCATAGCTCCACTTCCAGCTTTTGGTGGTTCCTTGGAAGTAAGAGTCTCACAGAATTTCCTGCCCGGGCTGGCTTTGACTTGGCAATCCTCAGATCTCAGCTTCCTGAGCAGCTGGGATTACAGGTGTGAGCTTCTGGTGCCCTGCCTTATGAGCCTTTTCTATTGAGACACTCTACTCTACCCTTCATTTGCATAAATGGAGGCCCTCACTTAAGTCCTGCCCAACCCCTGCTCACCTGATGCAATCTGCTTTTCCTTCCTGTGCCCCAATACCACGGATGAGGGGGACAGGAAGAAATAGGTGCGGTCACCCAGGGCGACCCAGAGTCAAGGGTGTGTACCAACAGGTCTGCAAGCGCATAATGACTTCCACCCTGCCAACCATGTTGCTCTGAAGTGGAGGCTGCAGAATCCCGTGCAAAGAAGCACCTGGTCTTGCGCCTGGCACCCCTGCCCTCCTCCCGGCACCCCTAACCCTCCTATCTGGACAGAACACTTGAATGTCCTCCACCCAGCCTTTTTTCAGTCTCCTCCCCATGGGTTGCAGTCTCTTGGGCCAAACTCCCTGTCTCTCTTCTTCAGTTGGACTCACGCGGGGTCCCCTCCCGGCCTCGCACGTGCTGGGTGGGTGAGAAGCAGCTGCCTCGCTGGGCCCGTGGCCTCCACGGATGCCTTTCAGCCCTGTGGTCTTCCCCAGGGCTGCGGGGCAGGGCCGGGCCTTGCTGTCCCCGGCTGGGGCTGGGGCTCACCTGACCGGGGACCGCAGCTCTCACTCACATCCATGACCCCGATGGTCTGGGTCCCATTGAAGAGGTTGCAGCCCGGCCTGGGCAGGCAGCCCTGTACCCTCAGAGTGCTGAAGATCCCTCCTAGAGCAGAGGAAAGAGGAGAGACATGGAGAGGCTGACACAAAGACCATCCAAGTCTCCCAGGGAAGGCCAGCTCTCTGTCTTCCCTTCTGGGTCCCATGCCGTGCCTCAGTTTACCCTTATTCCCCAAACACTCAGATCTGAATGCCCAGGCCTCCCCATTCAGTCCCCAAGGGGCCCTGATATAAATCTGGAGATCTACCTCCCCTGAGCTTGAGGACGCCATCATAGCAGTGAGTGTACCCCGCGGGGCAGATGTGTTCTCGAGAGTCCTCAGGACATGGCTGGCCTCGGGAGAAGCAGACTGGGCAGCGCAGGGTCCCTGGGGCTGGGGAGGGGACAGGCATTTAAATCCGGGCACCGTGCTTTCCCCAAGAATCTGGCTTCTTAGTTCCCTTCTCCTCCATTCCTGGACATGCCTCCTGGACTCCAGGCAGGCAGGCAGCCTACGATGTGGGGCAAGTGTCACCTGTCAGGGGGTGGGGGGGGGGTGAGATCTGCACAGACACCTGAGGGGCTGAGGGCAGGAGGGGTCCTGGGGTTCAGGTGTGGGTGGGGAGCGACAAGGATTTAGCCAAGGGAAGGAAGATGGCCTGGAAGGATCCAATGGCTTCGCCTCTGATTTTTACAAAACAGTCAAGGAAGACAGCGTGTTCTGTTCACAAAATGTCTTGAGGGCTGGGAAGGTGGCTCAGTGGTAGAGTGCTTGCCTTGCATGCATGAGGCCCTGGGTTCGATTCCTCAGCACCACATAAGCAAAAAGAAAAAAGCCGGAAGTGGCGCTGTGGCTCAAGTGGTAGAGCGCTAGCCTTGAGCTGAAGAGCTGAGGGACAGCGCCCAGGCCCAGAGTTCAGGCCCCATGACCGGACCCAAAAAAACAAACAAAAACAAAAAAACCCACCATCACCAACAACAAAAAAACCAAAATGTCTTGAGTTCAGAGACACAGGGCATCTCCCAGAGTGTTTGCCATATGTGCAGAGAAGGGATTGAGCCAGGGCCAGTGAGTGTCTCTTAAGCCTGAAAAGAGATGTGAGTGAGGTACAGAAAGCAGGAGTCTGGCTGGGTGCTGGTGGCTCACACCTGTCATCCTAGCCACCCAGGAGGCTGAGATCTGAGGATCCCTGTTGGAAGCCAGCCTGGGCAGAGAAGTCCATGAGACTCTTATCTCCAATGAACCACCAGGAAGCTGGAAATGGTGCTGTGGCTCAAAGTGGTAGAGTGCTAGCCTTGAGTGCAAAAGCTGAGACAGCACCCAGGCCTGAGTTCAAGCCCCACGACTGACAAGAAGAAGAAAGGAAGAAGATGGAGGAGAGGAGGAGAGCAGGGAGGAGGAGGAGGAGGAAGAAGAAAAGAAAGAAAGGAAAGTGGGACTCTGCATTAGGAGCAGTTAGAGCCAGGGCCTGAGTCTGAAGTTGAGTATAATCTAGCATCATAAAGCCCTCCTGGTTTATCAGTCTAGGACAGCTGGAGGAAGTGTTGCGGGAGGGGCCTGTGGCCAGCGGGGCGGGGAGGAGAGAGTGAGTGGGGAAAGAGATGGAGTCTGAGGGACCAGGGAGGAGTTAAAAAAAGGAACAAGAAAGTGGGTGCTGGTGGTTCATGCCTGTCATCCTAGCTACTCAGGAGGCTGAGATCAGAGGATCATGGTTCAAAGCCAGTCCAGCCAGGAAGGTCTGTGAGACTCTTATCTCCAATGAGCCACCAAAAACTGGAAGTCCAGCTGTGGTGCAAGTGGTAGAGCAGTAGCCTTGGGACAATGCCCAGGCCCTGAGTTCAAGCCCCAGGATCCTGCCACACACACACACACACACACACAGTGCCATCAACGGAGAGATGGCGCATCCTTACATAGCCAGTGTCAACTCTTTCGCCCTGCCCTCCTCTCTCGGCCCCTCATCCCACTGGCACCTGTGGTGGTAGACAGATCCCCGAGGGCCTTGGTGGTGGACACAGCATTACAGAAGTCGGCTTGGCGGCACACATGGTGGTAGGAGATGACAGACAGGCCGGGGCCTGCCCTGTGCCTGGTGACTTGGGCCTCTTGGTCCTCAGCCGCAGTGCAGCCCTTGATGATCACCACGTTCACTTGATGTCCTGGATTGGGGTGGGGGGTGGGGGACAAGAAGCGGTGGGAATGAGGACTCTGCCATCCCTGGGAGGGGAGAGGTTGTGCGTCCTGCAGAGGTGAGGCTGAGTGGATGGCGGGGAGGACCCCCCTGAACCTCTCACCATTCTCTATGATCATCAGGGTGTCTTGGCACCCCTGGCCCTCCACACAGGTTTCCTGGCCAGCTGTCCAGTTGAGGGGCAGCTCCAAGGCGTCCCTCACCGTCTCGATTGACCCTTTCTGGCACTGCAGAGCCCGTGCACCTGACATGGGGGGACAGCAGCCTCCTTAGTAAGTTCTGGAATTTGAACTCCTACAAACCCCCCTCCCTCCACAACCCACACTCACCAGGCAACAAGGCGGTGACCACCAGGACAGTCAGCAGTGGTGCGGGGCTCATGTCCAGGCTGTGGCTGGAAGTCCCCTTGCGTCCTTTTAACCAGGAGACGCAGCACTTTTATACTTCACCTGGGTTGTGGGCCGGGCATGGGCTGCCCACAAGGCCAGGGCAGCGGGGAGAGGAAGAGGGAGCCCTGGCCCTACCCACAGAGTTTACACAGAGCCTGAAAAGCCCAGGGTGACCCCTCCTTCCTCCACTAAGGAGTCCAGCCCCCCCAACCCTCCTGCTTGGAAGCCAGCAGAGGGGGAGACCACTCTTTTTGCTCAGATCCAGGGGTCCATACCCCAGCACCTCTCTCTCTCCTCAGAGCCCAGTGTCCAGGGCTTCCCACTGCCTCCCACAGCTAGGCATGAGGTCTCCCTGATCCTCATCCTGCTGCTCCAGACCCTCGAGGCCTCGTTCGCACTGACCCCCCTGTGGTTTCAGAGTGGCGTGAGAGCCTTGTTTCTTCCTGGCTTAGCATCCTGGCCGCTCCTTCTCAGATGGGGAAATGGCACTGCTGTCTGCCAGGATATTGTGAAGTCGCATTGGCCAGTCCTGTGATCTTCATCCCTATAATGCCCCCCGCTGCTTTCTTTTTTTCTTTTTTTGTCTTTCCTATTTTTTTTGTCTCTTTTTGTTGGTTATGGGGCTTGAACTCTGGGGCTAAGCACTGTCCCTCAAATCTTCAGCCACAGCTTCACTTCCGGTTTTCTGGTGGTTTACTGGAGGTAAGAGTCTCACAGACTTTCCTGCCCAGTCTGGCTTTGAACCGCGATCCTCAGATCTCAGCCTCCTGGGTAGCTAGGATGACTGGTGTGAGCCACCGGCGCCCAGCTTTCTGGTAGAATGTGAAGCTGCGTGAGGTCCTCTGCAGGGTGGGACCCTGGAGACCGTGTAAACATGGCATCCCCTACCACACGCTTTACTTCCTTGTGCACATGGTGCTCACATCACTTCAAGAGGATTCTTCTTTATGGAGGACCAACGCCTCGGTCCAGCTCAGCCCTGCCCACTGGACAAGGCCCTTCCACCTGGGCAGCTCATCCCTCAGAGCCCGTTCTTGTGAGAAGCAGAGCCTTAGAAAGGAGAAGTGAAAGCTTGGGCCATCAGGAAATGGTGGCTGCAGGCAGGAAAGCCATCAACCTTTCCTGCTTCATTTCAGCGCAGCAAGGATGCTCTAGTCAACCGAATGCTTCACTTCAAATCTCATTGACTAAACACTCAGTATTCGGCAGCAAACAAAAACTATTTATTTGAGAGTCCAGGTGTGGTAACACCTGCCTGTAATCCCAGCTATAGGTGAGCTATAACAGGGCCCATCTCAGAAGACTTGGACCTAGGCCTTGGTAGGGAAGCAGCTGTCCCAGAAACTGGCAAGTGGGTGTCAGACAGTTCCTGCCAGGCTACAACCCTTTAACCAGCTGCCATAACACCTGGACTACAGACTTTTCTGCCCTGGGCTGGCTTCAAAAGGTGACCCTTAGATCTCAGCTTCCTGAATGTAGGCTTATAGTTAGTGTGAGCCATCAATGCCTGGCTTGTCTTCTTTCTTTCTCTCTCTTTCCTCCCTCCCTCTCTCTTTCTTTATTTCTTGGAGATGGAGTCTCATAGGCTTTCTTGCCCAGGCTGGCTTTTTTTTTGTTTTTTGGTCAGTGTGGGGCTTGAACTCAGAGCCTGGGTGTTGTCCCCGAGTTCTTTCATTCAAGGCTAGCACGCATCACTTTGAGCCACAGCACCACTTCTGGCTTTCAGGTGGTTCATTGGAGATAAGAGTCTCAGACTTTCTGCACTGGGCTGGCTTTGAATCATGATCCTCAAATCACAGCCTCCTGAGTAGCTAGGATAACAGAACGTGAGCCATGAGCTTCTAGCTTTTAATATGTTTGTATTACACTTCCATTTCCTGTGATGTGAACCAGTTTCATAATTTTCTTGTCCTTTTTTTTTTTATTGTAAAGATACTATACAGAGGGTTACAGTTACATGAGTGAGGTAATGAGTACACTTCCTCTTGAACATTGTTACCCCCTTGTCCTTTTTTTTTAATGGGGATTTTTACAGTTGCCACGGATGGCAAAGTATGTATGAATAAAAATCTGTTTGGGGGCTGGGAAGGTGGCTCAGTGGTAGAGTGCTTGCCTAGCATGCATGAAGCCCTGGGTTTGATTTCTTAGTTACCATATAAACAGAAAAGGCTGGAAGTGGCGCTGTGGGTCAAGTGATAGAGTGCTAGCCTTGAGCAAAAGAAGTTCAGGGACAGTGCCCAGGCCTTGAGTTCAAACCCCAGGACTGGCAAAAAAATAAAAATCTGTTGGCCAGTTCAGAGCAGAGCTTAATATGCTCCAAATCTTTCAATTCTTCCCTCCCTCCCTCCCTTCCTTCCCAACCTCTTTTTGGCTACAGGTCACCATCTTAGGGGACGAGAGTGTTTGGAGCTAAACAGCGGTGCTGAGTGCACAGCACCAGGACTGTACTAAATGACTGCTGCAATCGTCCGTGCCCTCTGACTTCTGACCTCCGACCTCGCATGCACTCCTCTGCCATGGCTGGGCCATGGCTGGTGCTGTGCTCACCCAGCGTCAGGGTTTGGCACCTCACTGGTACGCAGTGTTCACTTGGAGTCGGTCCCTTTGGTGCCTTGTGGGAAGCTGAGCCCAAGTAACTGGCCGGAACTGCTTTCCCAACAGAGGCTACAGAGGGAAGCAGAGATTTTCTTGGAACTTGGAAGATACTACATTAAAAAAGAAAAAAAGTGAGAGACGGGCGCTGGTGGCTCACGCCTGTAATCCTAGCTACTCAGGAGGCTGAGATCTGCGGATCACGGTTCAAAGCCAGCCGGGGCAGGAAAGTCCGTGAGACTCTTATTTCCAATGACCCACCAGAAAACCGGAAGTGGCGCTGTGGCTGCAGCTCACCTTGAGCTGAAGAGCTGAGGGACAGCGCCCAGGCCCAGAGTTCAAGCCCCATGACTGTGAGGGGTTGGAGGAATGGCCCAGTTGGTGGAGCACCAGCCAATGGATGAAGGGGCCAGGTACGGAGTTCAAGTCCTGGTCTCAGACAGGAAAGAAAAAGTAGGATTGTTTTTAAGCATGGATGATCTTCTATTCATTAGTTTTATTTAGTTTTGTTGAAACAGAGTCTCACAAGCCTTGAACTTGAAATCCTCTGCCTCAGCCGGGCAAACACTAGGATTACAGGCATGCCTGGCTCTTGGTAATTTCTAAATATACTCAGGATTTATTTAGAATGGTTTATAATTCCAACGGGAAGATTTGGGGAGCCCTATGGCTCATTTCGACTCTAAATCTATTGTGGTTGGAATGGTCTCAAGCCTTTTTGGCATTGGTGAGGTATTTCCCACGCAGCTTGCTGTTTGTTGCCTCTATGCGGGTGTTTACAGCTCCACTGGCAGCAACGCCTGATGTTCGCCTCTTCCCAGCCAGCAGCGTTAGTCAAGTCTGATTTCCTCTTACAGGAAGGAAATTTTTGTTTGTTTTCTTTCTCTCTCTCTCTCTATGGTATTAGTGTAAGCAGGTTACGAGATTTTACAAACCTGTTGCAAATTGGGAAGAGGGTGTGGCCTCCAAGTCTGTGAGTAACTGATCCATTGCAAAAGTAAAATAAAATAATCATCTCTGGCCTGGTCTAGAAGAAGAGAGTATTGGAATGAAGATTTTATTTTCAGTAACTTGATCCAACTTAAGCTTCATTTATTATTATAATTAGTGTGTGTGTGTGTGTGTGTGTGTGTGTGTGTGTGCATGCTGAAATTCCCTTTAGGGCCTTGTCTATGCAAACCACATGCTCTGCTACTAAGCTACCTTTCTTCCTTCCTTTCTCCTTTCTTTCTTCCTTCCTTCCTTCTTTCCTTCCTTCCTTCCTTCCTTTCTTTTTTTCTTTTGGGTCCAGTCATGAGGTCTGAACTCTGGGCCTGGGCGCTGTCCCTCAGCTCTTCAGCTCAAGGCTAGCGCTCTACCACTTGAGCCACAGAACCACTGTCGGCTTTTTTCTTTTTGCTTATGTGGTGCTGAGGAATCGAACCCAGGGCCTCATGCATGCAAGGCAAGCACTCTACCACTGAGCCACCTTCCCAGCCCTCCTTTCTTTCTTTCTTTTTTTCCTTCCTTCCTTCCTTCCTTTCTTTCTTTCTCTCTTTCTTTATCTGAGATCAGGACTTGAACTCAGTACCAGATGCTTTGGCTCAACTAACTGAGCCACACCTCCAACCTCTATCTTTGATTTCACATATAAAATACTGGGCCTAGGCCAACAAAGATCATCAATTTTTCTCCTGTCTCCCCTCCCCCGGCGTTACTTTTTGAACAGAGTTTAGTTTCTGCAAAAGAAAAAATCACTGGGGATTTGAAGACTGGTTTGGTCAGCACTGGCAACTTAACTAATACTAAACATTCTGATCCATGAATTCAGGATGTCTTTTTTTTGGGGGGGGAGGGGTCTGGTCGTGGGGCCTGAACTCCGGGCCTGGGCACTGTTCCTCAGCTCTTCCGCTCAAGGCTAGCACTCTACCACTTGAGCCACAGCGCCACTTCCGGCTTTTTTCTTTTTGCTTATGTGGTGCTGAGGAATCAAACCCAGGGCCTCATGCATGCAAGGCAAACGCGCTACCACTGAGTCACCTTCCCAGCCCCTGCAGGATGTCTTTCTATGTATTTATGTCTTCTTTCATTTCTATTAGCAATGTGGTGGAGTTTTAAAGACTATGAGTGCTTTCCTCCTAGATTTAACAATCTTACTCCCAAAGATTTTATTTTTTTTGCTTTGATCTTATTACAAACAAAATGGCTCTTTCTTTTCTTTTCTTTTTCTTTTTTTTTGGGGGGGGGGGGCCAGTCATGGGGCCTGAACTCTGGGCCTGGGCGCTGTCCCTCAGCTCTTCAGCTCAAGGCTAGCGCTCTACCACTTGAGCCACAGCGCCACTTCCGGCTTTCTGGTAGTTTATTAGAAATAAGAGTCTCCTGGGGCTGGGAAGGTGGCTCAGTGGTAGAGCACTTGCCTTGCATGCCTGAGGCCCTGGGTTCGATTCCTCAGCACCACATAAGCAAAAATAAAAAAGCCGGAAGTGGTGCTGTGGCTCAAGTGGTAGAGTGCTAGCCTTGAGCTGAAGAGCTGAGGGACAGCGCCCAGGCCCAGAGTTCAGGCCCCACGACCGGACCCCCCCCCCCCAAAAAAAAGAGAAAGTCTCCTAAGCCGGGCGCCAGTGGCTCACACTTGTAATCCTAGCTACTCAGGAGGCTGAGATCTGAGGATCGTGTCTCAAAGCCAGCCCGGGCAGGAAAGTCCGTACCCAATAGACCACTAGAAAATCAGAAGTGGTGCTGTGGTTCAAGCAGTAGAGTACTAGCCTTGAGCTGAAGAGCTGAGAGACAGTGCCCAGGCCCAGAGTTCAAGCCCCATGACCTACCAAAAAAAAAAAAAAAAGAGTCTCCTGAACTTTCCTGCCCAGGCTGGCTTCAAACCATGATCCTCAAATCTCAGCCTCCTGAGTAGCTAGGACTGCAGGTGTTATCCCTGGTGCCAGACCAGAATGGCTTCTTAAGGATACTTTGGGATTGCTCCTAGTCTATGTATTGAAATACAAATACTGATGTAGGATTTTTTTAAATTTTTTTTTTTGGGTCCGGTCGTGGGGCCGGAACTCTGGGCCTGGGCGCTGTCCCTCAGCTCTTCAGCTCAAGGCTAGCGTTCTACCACTTGAGCCACAGCGCCACTTCCTGCTTTTTTCTTTTTGCTTATGTGGTGCTGAGGAATGGAACCCAGGGCCTCAGGCATGCAAGGCAAGCGCTCTACCACTGAGCCACCTTCCCAGCCCCGATGTAGGATTTTTGTACCCTGAAATTTTACTGAAATGTTAGTTCTAGCCATTGTTTTGTAGGGTTCGGGGGCATTTAGTCTATTTTATCATGTTGTCCATGTACAGAGAAGGTTTTTTTCCTCTTTTACCATTTTGGATGGCTTTTGTTTCTTTTCTTTGTTCAGACTAGGAGTTCCAGTATTATGTTGAATAAAACTGGTAACACAAGCCGCCTTTCCTCTTTCCTGGTCTTTAGTGTTTCACCATTGAGAGATAAGTTTCCTGTAAACTTGTCACCTGTGACCTTTGCTGTCACTGTGCCTCAGAGGCCAGTCTTTTGTGGAAATGGTGACTCTTTCCCTTCCCAGTCCCTTTCATTATCCTGTTCATTCCAGGAAGTACAAGACCTCATACATTGAGAAATCCTTCAAATCGGAACCTCTCCAGCTACAAAGTGAGAAGCGGGAGTCCAGGCTGCCTGTGTTTCCTAATGAGTGATTTAACTAAAAGCAATGTCCTCCTAGTTTATGACCGTATTCTCTGCCTTGGAGGTAGCAGGATTGTCGAGCCATCTTTCCTAGATGCACACAGGAGAGTGGTTACAAGGAAGAGGGTTTGATGTTTCATAAAGTCACACAAACTAGCTGGGCGCTGGTGGCACCTGCCCTGTCATCCTAGCTACTCAGGAGGCTGAGATCTGAGGATCACGGTTCAAAGCCAGCCTGGGCAGGAAACTCTGGGAGACTTTTATCTCCAATGAACCACCAGAAAACCAGAAGTGGTGCTGTGGCTCAAGTGGTAGAGCACTTGCGTTGAGCTGAAGAGCTGAGGGACAGTGTCCATGCCCAGAGTTCAGGCCCCCATGACCAACAAAAATAAATAAAGAATCAAACAAAAAGACGAGCATGGTCTCTGTAGAGGTTCATTCTTGGGTGAACTCACACAGCTTACTGTGGGCTCCAGGAGTTGACTAAGATCTTAGTGAAAGATCAGGAGGTAGACTCTGGGCCCACTCTCAGACAGACTCCTATTCTGTCCACCGAACTACTCTCAGTCCCAGCCACCACCACCACAGACTCAGCACAGGATTCGGTAGCCCCCACCCACCTGTCACATGATGCTAGAGTCTCCACCTATTGGATCTCCAGTGATGGGAGCCTGGATGATGCTGAGCCATGGAGGAAGATGTGGTGCTAGAACCAGAGCAGGCTTGGCACAGCGCGGGTCCGAAGGGAAGACACTGGGTCACCAGTGAGGTCACCAACCCTGTCTTTTCCAGCAGGAGAGACACCTAGCTGGCTGTGAAATATCGCCCACGTGGCCCTTCTGTTAATTATTACACCTTTCATGGAATTTTCTTTTCTCTCTCTCTCTCGTGGGTCTTGGGACGTGAACTGGGGACCTGGGTACTGTCCCCGAGCTGTTTTTGCTCAGGGGTAGCACTCTACCACATTGAACTACAGCGCCACTTCCAGTTCTCTGGTGGTTCACTGGAGATAAAGAGTCACATGGACTTTCCTGTCTGGGCTGGCTTTGAACTGGGATCCTCAGATCCCAGTCTCCTGAGTAGCTAGGATGACAGGCGTGAACCACTGGCGCCTGGCTTTCATGGAATTTCTTTTCCTAGCTATGGAAGGCCCAGGGCTGACTGGTGCTGCCCCCGACCCCAACCCTGTCATCACTCCATAAGGTGATTACAGAAGTTTCTCCTAACCATACCCATAGTTCCTCTCTACATAAAGCAAAAGGATCTTGGCCAGCTATTTTTTTTTTTTTAAACATATCCACCAAGACACACCTGAAGATTGTTCAACTTCCTGGTCCTTAGGTCCTTTTCCTCATAGATGTTCACCGACTCTGGGATGAAGCGAGGCATTTCCTTGGAATGACCTTGCTCTCCCACCACCTCTTTCAAGGACAACTCCACGTGAGCGCTTGGTCTTATCTGTCATGACTCAGTGTCATTTCCTACAATGGCGTCCATAGCGCACCCCCCCCCCAGCTCCTCGGAGGGACACGGGGTCCACGCAGCACTCCAGTACCTCCCCACTTCCCCCTAGCAATAATTCTGGACTGTTGGGAATAAAAGAGCTGGGAGTCGTTTTCCAGCCCATGGTGGTCAGCACCATGGACAGCGCCTCAGCCTTTCCAGTCGCCAGGCTGGGGAGGCCAGGAGGCAGAGGAGATAATTATCACAGCTAGAAGGGCTGCCCATCCCTCCCCTGCCCAAGAAACTCGCGGGGAGGAAATTCTTACAGGGAGGATCGGCGTCTCTTGTGCCTTCTGCCCTGCGTGTCCTCCACACGTGGAGGGACATTGGGGTCATGGCCTGTCCACTGCGTCTTCCCACGGGGAAGATGGCTGCACCGCCAGGGTGGCCTTGGGGGTGGGGGGTTCAGCGGGCTCCGAGGCCCCTGGAAGTTTGGAAGGGAATGGAGCCTTGTGCACCCAACCTATAGGGTTCATAACAGACGGGTGTCTCAAACTGCCCCCTCTTCTCACACACACACTTCCAGCCCAGCCTGAGGCCTTGGGCCAGGGTGCTGGATCCTCAGTACTGTAGACGCAGCTTGGCCTGGCCCAGACCATACACCTGAGCTTGATCTGATGGCAGATCAGAGTAGATCTTAGTTGTGAGATACTGACAATTCCAGATGGCATGTGACCTGTCGTTAGGATTATATGTAAGTTCTATGATAAAGCTGAGGGACCATGGTGCGGGCAACCTTTCTTCTGAATCTGCCACCTGCACTTCCCCCACTGGCCACCAGGGGGCACAGCACACAACAACCTCACCCCACCTGGTGCCTCCACAGCGGTGGGGGCCAGTCCAGCAAAGCTTCACCCCACATGTCACTGTTTCTCCAGACTCCTTCCTACGCCTGCCAGCTCCGCCCTGAGCCATCACTCCATACAGCACCTGTCCCCTGTCCCCTCGGTCTGTCCTTCCCAGGGGAATGGCTTCAGGTCTCAGTCATAGGGACCCTTCCCAAGGGAGCGCTCTGATGGCACAGGCCCGCTTCCCCCCACCCCCCATCCCTAATGCTTTTCTTGGACATAATTCACTCCAGTCTTTACCTTGCTTTGCACTGTGGAGTCTGGGGATTAAAAACTAGCACAAAGAAGAAGGAGCTGGATACTGATGGCTCACATCTGTCATCCTAGCTCCTCAGGAGCCTGAGATCTGAGGGTCCAGGTATGAAGCTAGTCTGGGCAGGAAGGTCGGTGAGACTCTATCTCCAATGAATCACCAAGAATGCTGGAAGTTGAGCTGTGGTTCAAGTGGTAGAACCAGCCTTGAACTAAAAAGCTCAGGGACAAGTGCCCAGGCCCTAAGTTCAAGCCCCAGGACCAACACAAAAAGAAAGAGGAGGAGGAGGAGGAGGAAAGGAAGGAGGTAGAGGAGGAGGAGGAAGAGGAGGAGGAGAAAAAGTAGGAGGAGGAGGAGGAAGAGGAAAAAGGCAGGACTGAAAGATGAGGGGATAGAGCGGTGTCCTGGACACAGACCCTGCCCCTAGACCACATGACCGAGGGAAGGACTCCTTCCCTGAGAGGAGAGGCTCAGAGGAACAGAGGACAGCAGAGCTGACCCCTGGGCAGCCCCGCGTGGGATCTGTGCTAGAACTGAGCTCATCTCCACAGAGGAAGGACAGACAAGGCGGCAGCTAGCATGGAACTTCTTGCAGCCTTTCTCCACGGAGGCCCTGGGCCCTGGCGGGGGCACCTGCTCGCAGGTAGGGGTGCGGGTCTCTGGAATGAGGCAGAGGGGGAGAGGAGTGCAGAGTGTCACTGACATGGGACGGAGGGATTCTGTTTCGAGTGGAAGAGGTGAGGCCACCAGACAGTGACAGAGGCTCTGCCGCGGGAAGCTCTCGGCGAACTGAAATTCACAGAAGGAAAAACTAATCAGGGAGGAAGCACTCAGCTGTTCTCATTCCAAATCTGTATCATAAGCTGCTGTGTTTTAAAAACTGATACAACACCTTTGTCCTGATGAATCCCCCCCCCAAAAAAACCCCAAAATAAAACCAACCAGATCATGAAACATATTCTTAATCACCAACCTCAGAAATTGCCAAATAAAGCCCGTAGAACCCGGGAACACAAGTTCATGCATCCACAGGTGTCTGAGCCTGTCCCAGGCCTGGGGGGCCACTACTGAGACCACAGAGTCTCCCCAGGACACCCTGATTGTGAGCAGGGGTGAGGGCCGTGAGGGGTGAGCCGTAAAGCCTCCTGGGAAGAGTATGGCACACAGACAGGAGGGACAAGTTCAGGGCAGGGAAAGAATGGAGGTTGTGCTGTTGACTGAGCCCAGAGGAGACACACATAGAGGCATAAGTGTCTTGTCTGTCTGTCTGTCTGTCATGATAGGGATGAAGGCACCTCCTAGGACTCTGGATTCCATCTTCCCACCCAGTAATCTATGGATCTCTCTCTCTCTCTCTCTCTCTCTCTCTCTCTCTCTCTCTCTGTCTCTCTCTGTCTCTTTCTCTCTCTCCATCCTCCTAGCTTCCATTTTATTCTTCTGGAGCCTGCCGGTTACAGCCCAACTCAGCATTGAGCTGGTGCCCTCCAATGCTGTCCAGGGGACAAACGTCCTTCTACGTGTCCACAATGTGCCCAAGAATATTAAAAGCTATACCTGGTACAAAGGGCAAAGGAGCCTGGACAACCATCAAATTGTAATATTTGTCATAGACCATCATACCATCGTCCGAGGGCCTGACTACAGTGGTCGGGAGAAAATATACCGCAATGGATCTCTGCTTCTCCAGAGTGTCAACTGGAGGGACGCAGGCTACTATACTCTACGAACCCTAACTAGAGACCTTCGGACTCAGGGAGCATCGGGACAGCTCCATGTATTCCGTGAGTGGCCCTTCCGTGGCCTCTGGGTTATAGGAGTTCCAGGGTTCCACAGAACCATCGGACACCTCCAGCTGTGCTCTTCTCTTTCAATATTATTTCGGCTTGTGGGAGCCATTGGCATTCCATGTGGATTTTAGGGTGTCTTTTTTTTCTCTATCTGGGGTTTTGAAGCAGAAAGTGTTGATGGTGTAGATTGTTTTGGTTAGTAATGGTCTCCTAGCAAATGAGTCAACTTAGGCACATGGAATGTCTATTTCTCTTCTTTCTTTCTTTCTCTCTTTCTTTCTTTCTTTCTGTGCTGGAGCTCAGCAGCTTTCACGTCTTCCATGAATGCCTCGTAGTTTTTCGGTTGTTGAGGATTTTCCTCCTGGGTTAAATCTATTCCGCAAGATGTTATTTTTAGCCAGGTGCTGGTGGCTCATGCCTATGATCCTAGCTACTCAGGAAGCTGAGATCTGAGGATTGTGGTTCGAAGAGCCAGCCCAGGCAGGAAGGTCTGAGAGACTCTCATCTCCTATAGACTACTCAAAAAAGCCTGGAGAGGCGCTGTGGCTCAAGTGGTTGAGTGCCAACCTTGAGCAAAAGACATTCAGGGACAGTGCCTAGACCCTGAGTTTAAGCCTCATGACCAATCAAAAAAGAAAAAAAAAGGTGTTATTCTTTTTGATGCTATTATAAATGGAATCATTTTCTTCCTTTCGAGACTGTTCGTCGGTAAATGTATAGAAATGCTTCTTCTTTAGCACTTTACGCTGTTTTTTTTCTTTTTGGTCCAATTGTTCTAACTAGGACTAGTATTATTCTGAATGAAAGTGACACATGCAGTATTCCGGTCTTGTTCCTGGTGGTAGACTAAAAGCCTTTGTGTTTCACAACGGAGAATTAAGTTACCCATGAACTTTTCTTCTTGTGACCTTTTTTGTGTCGAGGTATTTTCCCTGTATTTCTAAGAGTGTCTCTTTTTTTCTCTCTCTTTTTAAATTGAAAACTGTGACTATTTCCTTGTAAGAGTTTCCTTCCCAAGTCACAATGAATCCACAGGCCAGGAATCCAAGTCCTGTTAGGCTGAGAAGTCTTCAGACTGGAACCCTTCCAGCTACTAAGGTCATCAGAGAGTCTGAGCTACTTTTGTTCCATCATAAATAATAAAGAATGAATGTCCTTTTTTGTTTTTAGTTTATGGAAATATTCCCTGCCCTAGAGACACACGGCAATGCCAAGCTGGCTCTCCTTACTACACACGGAAGTGTATGGAAGGAACAAGCTGATGTCTTTTTTTTTTTTTTTTGGGTCCGGTCATGGGGCCTGAACTCTGGGCCTGGGCGCTGTCCCTCAGCTCTTCAGCTCAAGGCTAGCGCTCTACCACTTGAGCCACAGCGCCACTTCTGGCTTTTTTCTTTTTGCTTATGTGGTGCTGAGGAATCGAACCCAGGGCCTTGAGCATGCAAGGCAATCGCTCTACCACTGAGCCACCTTCCCAGACCCTCACATAGAAGTTTAGAAGAGAGTAATTCCAATTGAGAAAGCTGCGGAGACGTGGAGGGTCTGGTGAGGGTCACACTGGGGTGATCTGGAGTCAGAGGGAAGGGTGGTCTTTCCCTCACAGGACCACTACCCAAACGCAGCCGTGGGCAGCCAGTGCCATCTCTGGGCCACCTCATTCAGCCAGTCCCTTTCTTTTCTTTTCTTTTTTTCCCCCTTAATTTTCCTCCACAGAGCCGGTGGCACGGCCCTCCATCCAGGCCAGCAACACTACAGTCACAGATCAGGGATCTGTGGTCCTCACCTGCTACCCTGGTGACCCGGGAACCTCCATCCGGTGGATTTTCAACAATCAGAGCGTGCAGCTGACGGAGAGGATGAAGCTGGCTCAGGACAACAGCACGCTCAGGCTTGACCCCGTCCGGAGGGAGGACGCTGGAGAGTATCGGTGTGAGGTCTCCAACCCCGCCTCCGCCAGCCAGAGTGACCCCCTCGTGCTGGTGGTGACCCCCAGTGACCCTTAGCTCCCCCAGTGAATTAAACCCAGCCTCCAGTTTTGCCTCCTTATGAAAATAGTGGTCGCCATTCTCTTTCTTTACAAAGCATGGGTGAGTGGTTCATGAACTGAGGTGGTACGGCCTGATAGCTGAACTTCTTTTCTTTTTTGGGTCTGGTCGTGGGGCCTGAACTCTGGGCCTGGGCGCTGTCCCTCAGCTCTTCAGCTCAAGGCTAGCGCTCTATCACTTGAGCCACAGCGCCACTTCCGGCTTTTTTCTTTTTGTTTAGGTGGTGCTGAGGAATCAAACCCAGGGTCTCATGCATGCAAGGCAAGTGCTCTACCACTGAGCCACCTTCCCAGCCCTAGCTGAACTTTTTGTTTTGTACCAGTGCTGGGGTTTGAACTCGGACCCTGGGATGCTGTCCCTGAGCTCAAGGCTATAGTGCTTTACCACTTGAGAGACAACCTCCACTTCTGGATTTTTGAGAATTAATTGGACAGATGAGTCTCCACAAGACTTTTCTTCCCTGGGCTGGCTTTGAACCTTGATCCTCAGATCTCAGCCTCCTGAGTAGCTAGGATGACAGGCGTGAGCTCTGGGCATCTGGCTATATTCAAACTCATTGAATCAATGGATGCTTAAAGCCTCGAGGGGTTGTAGCTGTTGTTGGCTATGGTCATCTCCCACACCAGCTCCCTGCTTAGTGGGTTTCCATCATCTGATGTGGGGGGGGGGGGGAAGGGGGCGCTGTCCTCTCACAGGGCCTCCTGGGTCTTCCGGCTGAAGGCATTGCTTGAAGAACCCGACTCCCACTGCTCAGGTCCAGCCTGGAAGGGCCCGCAGCGGCCCTGGGCCGTGTACACGGCGGCTGTGACGTGAAGTGACAAAGTCCTTAGGGACACAGACTCAGGGCTGGTTTCCATCCCCCTTCCCCATGGCTCCACACAGGCAAAAGAGCATGTGCGCCCTCTATTGGCAACTTCCTGCCACAACGGGGCAGACGTGCTGGCCTCCATCAGCCCTGCCACATCCTGGATGGGTGGAGGCTGCCTCCTCCCTTCACAGCCCTGAGGCTCCTGCCAGGCCACCTCCTCCAGCTCGGGGTTCATAGGTAGGGCAAGCCCCCGACCCCAGAGGATAAACCAGAACACACACACACACACACACACACACACACTAAGACCAGTGGCTATGACAGTTAGGAAGAAAACTAAGGTGTCGAAATACAAATAATTCCATTGGCAAAACTTGGTCCAAAATCTGTGGAGCTATCAGCGTGGATGCTGCCAGTCCTGTCCTGCGAGTGAGTGCTTCACGTTCCTTACTTTTTTTTTTCTTCCATGTCCTGCAGTTAATTTAGATAAATAGTATTTTATATGATCAGAGGCCTTTTTGCATTCCTCCCCCAAAGACTATTCTCCTTTGATGTCTGTGTGTGTGGATGCCTAGAGTCTTGTATAATTTATCATGTCCCCAGGGTACTTTAGATCTAGCTTCTGCAGGTGAGAGAGAACGTGTGTCATTTGTCTCTCTGTGCTTGGCTTATATCTCCCTTAACATGATTTGGTCTAGGTCCACCCATTTCCCTGCAAATGACATCTTATTATGCTTTCTAATGGCCGTGTGAAATTCCATTGTGTATAGATAGGCACCCCAGTTTTTGGATCTACTTCTCTGATGTAGGGCATCTGGGCTATGCCCACAACTTGGCTATTGTGAACAGTGTGGCAGAGAACATGGTCCTCCATTCTTTATGGCACCCAGCCAGTCAAGTGATTAGTACTGTACCTGCTTGAAGTTTCTGGAAGTGTCTCCAGACCATCAACTTCCCCAGGAAAGAAGTGCAGCCCCTCCTTTAGGAACCATTGAACAACAGTTTAGAAAGAACAGATGCATCAGGACAGTCAAAACTGTCTTGAGAAGGAAAGGCATCATGGGAGGCACACACTTCCTTATTTGAAAATAACTTACTTCATTTCTCCAGTGAACAATGATATGCCTAAGACCCACAGCGACCCCAGGATGTGAACTGAGAGACCAGAGACAAGCCTTCATCATTTAATCTTGGGATAAGTATCGAAAAGAAGTTAGAAGGTAGCCGGGCGCCGGTGGCTCACGCCTGTAATCTTAGCTTCTCAGGAGGCTGAGATCTGAGGATCTTGGTTCAAAGTCAAGAAAGTCCATGAAACTCTTATTTCTAATAAACCACCAGAAAACCGGAAGTGGTGCTGTAGCTCAAGTGGTAGAGTGCTAGCCTTGAACTGAAGAGCTGAGGGACAGTGCTCAGACCCTGAGTTCAAGTCCCATGACCAGCGGAAAGAGAGAGAGAGAGAGAGAGAGAGAGAGAGAGAGAGAGAGAGAGAGAGAGAGAGAGAGAGAGAGAGAGGAAGGAAGGAAGGAAGGAAGGAAGGAAGAAGTTAGAGGGTAAAGAAGAAAGTTTTTAAATAATGGTGCTGGGATAGCTACATAACAACAAGCAGAAGAATGAGCTTTGGTCAGCATGGGTCTCATGCTAATAATCCTAGCTACTTAGGAGGCTGAGATCTGAGGATCATGGTGCAAAGCCAGCCCAGGCAGGAAAGTCTGTGAGACATGTATCTCCAATAAACCATCAGAAAACTGGAAGTAGTGTTATGGCTCAAGTGGTAGAGCACTTGCCTTGAGCTGAATAGCTGAGGGATAGTGCCTAGGCCCAGAGTTCAAGCCCTACAACCAACCAAAAAAAAAATGAGTTTTTATAGACTATATTCTCATTGTATTAAAAAAAAAGATTTCCGTTACGCACTAGTAGGTTACGCCTTTTATCTTAGCTACTTAGGAGGCTGAGATCTGAGGATCACAGTTGAAAGCCAGAGAGGCAGTCTGTGAGACTCTTATATCTCCAATTAAGCACCAAAAAGTTGGAAGTGAAAATGTAGCTCACGTGATAGAGCACTAGTATTAAGCACTGAGTTCAAGCCCCAGGACCAGCATGTGTACTTACACACACACACACACACACACCAAAACAAATCAACCTATAAGTAGAAAAGAGCTGATGGAACAAAACATAGGGCAAATCTTTCTAGCCTTCCATTTTATTTGGCTATAGATTCTTAGATATCGCACAAAAGCAGGAACAGCGAAAGGAAACACTGATAAATTAGACCTCACCCAGGCCTTTGGCTTTCATTTGTCTTGGGAACAGGATCCCGCGAACTTGCCTGGGCTGGCCTCAAACTTGCAAACCTCCTTCCTTCACCTCCTGGGTGCCTGAGACAAGTACACAGCGCCATGCCCTCGTTGGGGGCAGGATCCAAGTAGCAGAGCACCTACCTAGGCACATGCGGGGCCTTGAGTTCAAACCCTAGTTCTGAGGGGGAAAATCAGTCTTTAAGGATGATATATTAAACATATCTACTAGCCAGGCGCTGGTAGCACACACCTGTAATCCTAGTCACTCAGGAGGCTGAGATCTGAGGATCACGATTCAAAGCCAGCCCGGGCAGGGACGTCTGTGAGACTCCTATCTCCAATGAACCACCAGAAAACCAGAAGTGGCGCTGTGGCTCAAGTGGCAAAGCACTAACTTTGAGCAAAAGATGCTTAAGGACAGCACCCAAGCTCTGAGTTCAAGCCCCACAACTAACCAAAAATAAATGTCTGCTCGTGGCCTCCAGGGGGCGATATTGGAACACACAGGGAATTCCCAGCCCAAGGAATCCCTGGGGCCTGAACCTGGCTTGGATTCTGATTTCTGCCCCTGGCTCTGTGGATCTCCACTAAGTCTTTCCCGTGTGGCCTGTTCCACCCTGTCTGCTGCTTCCCTGTCTCTGAGGACTCTGTTCTGCCAGGTGTCTCAGCGCCGACCCCTCCCTCCTGCCATGGGAGGCAGGCTAGACAGCCAGAGGGGCAGAGGACAAAGGACAAAGGCCACCCAGAGAAGTCAGCCCTGAGGCGCTGCTCAGTCAACAGCCCCTGGAATGGGGGAATCTCCCGGTACCCCTGGGCTGAGGATGCCGGAGCCTGGGGGTTCTCCATTGTCATCACCACCACAGCTGCCTTCCCACCACATCCGGGTCAGCTCCTGAAGACACTGCTCCCCGCTGGCTGTCCCTGGATCTGGTCCCCCCTGGGCACCAGCCACGACTCAGGTGATCCATTCCTAGCCCCTCCCCTCTTCTAGAATCTTCTCTGTCACTTTCTTGCCACAGGAGAATCCCACTGGGCTTGCTGGCTTTCTGAGTCCTGAAAGGGAAACACTTCCCTGGGTTTGAGGACCCCCAAGGGGTCACAACCCCCCACCTCTACCCCCAAGCCAGGATACCAGTGTGGCACTAAGGTGAGCCGGTCCTACAGCGGGCAGGGGCCCCTAAAAACCTTGCTGCTTCTCACAGCGTGCTGGGGGGGGAGGGACTGAAAACCCACACCGAGGAAAGGCGAAGAGGAACTGGAGGCAGAAGGAGGAGGAGGAGAAAGGGTGGAGGAGGGAGGAGGGAGAGAGGGGCCGGCCATGGTGACAGATCCCACCCCCCCATACCATGTGACCCTAGAAAGTGCTCCAGCCGCGAGGAGGCTCAGCTCAGAGGGCAGAGCTGACGCCCTCCGGAGCAGCCACGCTTGGGAGTGGGTCTGGAATCGAGGTTTTCCCCTTCTAGGTAGAAAGGCACCATGGAGCCCCGCTCAGCCTCTCCACGCAGGGGATGTGTCCCCTGGCACGGGCTGCTGCTCTCAGGTGAGGGAACGGCTCCCTGGGTGGGAGGCAGAAGGAGAAGAGCTGGGGGGGGGGGGGGGAGGGAGACAAGACACAGAGGGTTTCTAGTGAGGGCCTGAGCGGCGGGACAAGGCTCCGCCACAGAAAACTGTCCACGAGGTGCAAGTGCTAAATAGGGAGGAAAAGGTCCACTGGTTCCAAGTTACCCGTGACTGGTCAGCTGTATTTTAAAAACGGATATGACACCTGTGTCTCTGATCACCAAAGAAAAACCAACCAGATCAGCCAACCAACCTGTCCTTAGCCACCAAACTCCAACTCAGAACTTGCCAAATAAACCCCGCGGACACGCAAGGCCCTGGGAAGGCCACTTCATTCATCCACGGGGGATCTGAGCCTGGTCAAGGCCCAGGGGGGCACCACAGAGACCACAGCATCCCTGTCCCCACAGATCTCCAACCCTGCAGGCAGCAAGATAACTGTGAGGGCATCTAGAAGGGGAGGCCAGGGGGTGACAAGAACCACAGAGGGGACAGAGCAGGGAGAGGGGAGAAAGCGGAGCCCCAGGGTCTCTAGAGGAGAGGTTCAGGGAAGGTGTCTCCCCAGGACACCCCGTGTGAGCAGGGGGTGAGAGGGCAGCCAGGGGTGAGCCGTGAAGCCCTCTGGGAAAAGTACTGCACACAGAGAAGGGGTGGGAAGTTCAGGGGTAGTGAAGAAATGGAGGTCATGCTGCTGACAGAGCCAGTAGGAGACAGACAGACAGACACAGACACACAAGACAGGGGGTTCAAGACACTTTCTCGGGCTCCATTTTCCATCCCATACCAGGGTCTCATTCTTGATGGGCCTCTCTCTCACCCCTCCCAGCCTCCATTTTAGCCCTGTGGGCCCCACTGGTGACAGCTCAGCTCACGATCGAACCCGTGCCACCCAATGCCGCTGAAGGACAGAACGTTGTCCTGAAGGCCCACAACCAGCCCCCAAATGCTGAACTCTATCGCTGGTACAAAGGGGAAACTACAGACGAAAGCCATCGCCTTGGAGCGTTTTCAGCAAACTCGAAACAAAGCACCCCGGGCCCTGCCTATAGTGGCCGAGAGACCATCCAGGAGGATGGATCGCTCTTCTTCCAGAATGTCACCGTCAATGACACTGGAGTCTACACCCTGGACATCTTAGATCGTGATTTTGCCAGTAAGAGGGCATCTGGACAGTTCCAAGTATTCGGTGAGTTCACTGTGGCCTCTGGGTGCTGGGCCAGGGTGATTTCCAGCCCAGGAACATAGGTGTGTGGGGATGGGCTGTGTGCCCACCTTACCCTCTGCTTTCTGCTGCCCTGTTGCGGGAGGTTGCTCTCTGGATGGGGCATGCACAGTAGAAACAGATTTGCAAGGACAGGAATCCTTCACCTGAATCCAGAGTGAGAGAGAGAGAGACAGAGACAGAAAGAAAGAGAGAGAGAAACAGAGACAGAGAACGGTAGCCAGATGGGGTAATGGTCTCCCCCATGTTTTTCCCCCAGGAACATGGGCTAAGAAAAAACCTGTAGGACATAGACAAAGCCTGGCTTAGGGGAGCCCTGAGATCTTGGCAAACAAGCTCAGCCCTAGAGAGCCTCTGCATGCTCTCTCTCTCTCTCTCTCTCTCTCTCTCTCTCTCTCTCTCAGGCTCCTCTCCTCACTCTGGAAGGGAGCTTCTGGCCACAGCTGGAATTCTGCCTCCTGTCTGGGCTGAGGAGTCATGATTTTCTGCCTGTCTGAATGTCATAAACTCTGGGAACTACCCTGAGAGCCTCGCCGGGGGGAGGGCTTCCTGGCATCTGCTTTGCAGACTCAGTACGGCAAGCACGGAGGGTCAGACACACCAAGCCATTACACCAAGGCCCTGAGGGGCTTTTGAGACTCAAGGCCAGTGTGTGGGGATAGAGACCCCCAGCTCAGGGGATTCTCTCTTGGAGGAGCTGTTCATGTGGGTGGCTCCTCTCTAGCCCCGTAAGCTGGAGGCTGTTTACCATGTGTCCTAGGAAAGGGAAACTGAGGCATGGAGCAATATGGATGTGGAATCAGGGTCATCAGACCATGGGGTGGCAGATCAGAGGCTTGGGATGATTGTCTATGTCCACAGCCCTGTCCTCCCCTGCCCAGGGACTCACTAGGTGTCTGTGGACCAAAGAGGAACTGTTGGTTCAGAGACTTTAACCTCAGGGGTCAGCAGTATGGAAGGAGAGTCTGGTCCGGGTTAGTGAGAACCAATGGACAAGTACAGTTCTTACCTTAGAACTAAACTCAACTTCTTTGAGGCAGCCCTCAAAGAAGGTGCTGGATTTTCCCCTCTGCTGACCTCTCTTGGACTTAAAATGTGTGCTATGGAGAGAACTTTGCTGCTTCCCTCCCCACTAGGCCCCGCACACAACACAGGGCCCAGTGTATAGTCAACTCTCGGGTGTTCTGTTGGGTGGCTTTTTTGGGATTGCCTGTCCTGGCTGGGGCTTGAACTCAGGGCCTCTGCATGGTCCTTGAGCTTCTGTGCTCAAGCCTCTACCACTTGAGCCACAACATTACTTACATCATTTCTTGATGGCTCATTGGTGCAAAGTCTCAGGGACTTTGCTACTGGGGCTGGTTTGGAACCATGATCCTCCTATCTCAGCTTCCTGAGTAGCTGGGATTATATAGGCTTGAGCCACTGGCACCTAGCTAACTCTCAGGAGTTTTAGGATAGGGGTGAGGAGAATGAACTTGAATCAATGCATGGAGGGCCTAGGACTCTCTTCAGAGACTGGAACTTGACTTGCTGTGTCCTAACCATTTCTGGCCACACCTGCTCCCAGTCCTTGCTGGAGGCTGAGATCCCCATTCCATTTCTCCGATCTGTTTCTCAGGTGACCTCAGCTGGGCTAGGGTGAGGCCTGAGGGTGAGGCCCACTCAGCCTGACTCAGCCATGATGCTTCTGGTCTCTGGGGCAGTTGAAGTCCTTATAACGCCTGCTGTATGCTGTCATAGGTATTTCCCACTCTCTCTGCCTCTTTCCTGCTGATCAGCTTCCTGTCTATTCCCGGCTGTTGTCCTCTTGCTCCCAGGCTGATAACAGAGGTGCCAGCAGCAGGGCAGGACTGGCAAACCACAAAGCCCTAAATTCTGCCATTCTGTTCACTTTTTTTTTTTTTTTGGTCAGTCATGGACCTTGAACTCAGAGCCTGGGCACTGTCTCTGAGCTCCTTTGCTCAAGGCTGGCACTCTACCACTTGGAACCGCAGTACCACTTCTGGTTTTCTGGTGGTTCCGTGGAGCGAATAGTCTCGCAGGCTTTCCTGCCCAGTCTGGCTTCGAACTGTGATCCTTAGATCTCGGCTTCCTGAGTAGCTAGGATGACAGGTGTGAGCCACCATTGGCCCCTGCCAAACTCTTTTCACGTCTTACTCCTTCCTGGTCCCAGTGTGTGTGGGGAGGGGGGGGGGGAGGGGTGTGTGCTTCACCATCTTCCAAACTCTGGGGAGCCAGCCTACACACCCATGTCCTCATGATGACCTCAAGGTCAGGAAGCTTGTCTTGAACAAAGTAGCTATCATTTCTGTCAGATTCTGCATGTTTGGAAGAATTTAATAAAAATCGTATCTGGGATTGATTGCTAGGAGCAAAGGGAAGGAAGAAAGCAATTCATATCCCTGTGGATCTCCACTGGGGACCTAGACCTCTGAATTTACTAAAATGAATCTCTTACAATAGGAATACCTCAAACTTCCCCTGAGAGCCCCTCTGTAGTCAGAGAGTTTCTGATTCTAAGCAGCTTTGGCATGTCTCGTGTGTGTGTGTGTGTGTGTGTGTGTGTGTGTGTGTGTGTGTGTGTGTGTGTGTGTGTGTGTGTGTACATGCCGCACCAGTATTGGGGCTTCAACTTGGGACCTCACACTCACACTTGGCTTTTTCAATCAAAGTGAGTGCTCTAGCACTTGAGCTATACCTCCATTCCCTGCTTTTTGCTGAGTATTTAGAGATTCCCCACTTTTTGCTGGTTGTTTGGAATCTTGGGTTTTGTCTGCCTGGGCTGGCTTCGAATCTCAATCCTCAGATCTCAGCCTCCTGAATAAGCTAGGATTGCAGACTTGAGCTATTGGTATGCGGACAGCCTCTGTCTTTATTATGTGACTAACAGAACTCAGAGTTTGGCCTGTTACACTCTCTATGGGAACTGGTCTGATAATACTTTTCTTTTTTCTTTTCTTTTTTGCTGGTCGTGGGGCCTGAACTCTGGGCCTGGGCACCGTCCCTCCGCTCTTTAGCTCAAGGCTAGTGCTCTACCACTTGAGCCACAGTGCCACTCCCAACTTTTTCTGCTTATGTGGTGCTGAGGAATCGAACTCAGGGCCTCATGCATACAAGGCAAGCACTCTACCACTGAGCCACCTTCCCAGTCCTGATAATACATTTTTTTAAACTTACCTACTCAAATTCCTATAGTAGATCTCATTGATGAATATACATGGCCCGTGAGGGTCAGATTGCCATATTTCTGTTGATTGTGGGGTTTGAACTCAGGGCCTGGGTGCTGTCCATGAGCTCTTCAGCTCAAGACTAGCATTCTACCACTTTCAGCCACAGCTCCACTTCCAGTTTTCTAGTGGTTTATTGGAGATAAGAGTCTTACGGAGTTTTCTGCCGGGGCTGGCTTTGAATTGCAATCCTCAGATCTCAGCCTCCTGAATAGCTAGGATGAGTAGCTAGGCATGAGCCACCGGTGCCTGGCTCAGATTGCCTTGTTTCATTGTCACTTTTCTACCATTCAGTTCTTCTGTACTTGGAAACTTGAACCCATGTTCCTGGGAGGACTGCCATGGCCCTTCCCCTTCCCTGCAGGGAAGGGATATTAGCTGAGGATGTAACTTTGACTGTTCCAAGGCCTTGTCTGTCACCCCCATTCTAACCTAGATCATTTTAACCGAGTCAATCACCTAGAGAATCTCGACAGAACTGCTCACCTTGTGGCCCCACCTAAAACCAGAACCTGGGGCCAGTCCTTGGTCCTGAGCTCAGGTGTGTGACTGACTCACAAGACTGGTCTTCATGTCGGGCTGAAGGAGACTGCCGTGATTCATCTCTAGGACAGCCTTGAAAGGCAAAGTCTCAGAGGACACACACACCCAGGCCAGACAGGGAGGTCTGTGTCCTTGGAGGTGTTCCCTCTAGATGCATCTAGCAGTGGGGCAGTGAGGACCATGAGACGTGCTAGACATCTCTGTCTAGGTCCTGGGTCTGTCACTCACATGACCACACATGCGTAGCCCCCATGTTTTCTGAGCACTCAGGTCTCTGGGCATCTGTTGAGCGTCTCACCCTTCCTGCATGTTAAGGACTCCCAGGCTGGCTGGGAGGAGGGACGGAGCCCAGGCTAGTAGACAGAGGCCTTTACGGGGGTCATAGGGACCATCAGAGCAATCTTTCTCTCTGTTGTCCATGCAGCCAAGTTACCCAAACCCTTCATCACAAGCAACAACTCCAGCCCCATGGAGGGGGAGGACTCTGTAGCATTAACCTGTGATCCTGAGACAGAGAATACAAACTACCAGTGGTGGATAAATGGCCAGAGCCTTCCAAATGACACCAGACTGCACCTGTCCCCAGACAACAGGATTCTCACTTTATCCCATGTCACGAGGAATGACATGGGGCCCTATGAGTGTGGAACCTGGAATCTAGTGAGTGACAACCGAAGTGATCCGTTCACCTTGAATGTCTCCTGTGAGTAGCTTCTATTTCTCCATCATCCTGCCTGCCCAGCCTAAAGACACGGCCCTAGGGCAGAGACCCTTCACCCCCAGATACCCAGGCTGCCTAAAACCATCTCCCCCACCCCCAAGTCCGTCCAGGCAGCCCAGCCATAGCTAAGGAATGGAAGTGCAGGGATTGGGGGTGTGGGGAGATGTTCTCCTGGCGGGAGAGGCTCATGAAGGACAGAGCTTGTGTCAGACTCAAGCCCAGTGAATACAACAGGATAAAGCTGGGGTTTTTCAGTGGTTTAAGGTTTTTTTTCTGTGCATGGACCCAGGGCCCTGTGCATACTCAGCAAAGTGCTCCACCAATGCATACAGTCCCAGCTTTGGATGGCACGGTTTTCATTTAATTATTTTTTTGGGGGGGGGTGTCAGTTGTGGGGTTTGAACTCAGAGCCTAGGTACTGTCCCTTAGGTTTTTTTATTTGGTTTGGTTGTTTTTTTTGTTGCTGCCGTGTTGTTGTTCAAGGCTGTCATTCTACCACTGAAGCCACAGCTCCAACGTCTGGCTTTTTGTTGGCTCACTGGAGTGAACGGTCTCCCAGAAACTAGCTAGGATTGTAAGTGTGAGCCACTGGTGCCTGCTGACATTTTAGGGTTTGAGACAGGGCTCAGAGGGATGCTGGGGCCTTCCACAGACAGGGATCTTCACCTTCCGTCTGATGACATCAACCGTGACTTTATTCTGTTTGCTCCAGATGGCCCGGATATCCCCATCATATCCCCCCCAAGCTCATATGTTGGTCAAGGGACCAACCTCAGCCTCTCCTGCCACACAGCCTCTAACCCGCCTGCACAGTACTCGTGGCTGTTCAATGAGAGGCCTCAGTCATCTACACCAGCACTCTTTATCCCCAGCATCACTGTCAACCATAGTGGATCTTATGCCTGCTTCGCCTATAACTCTGTTACTGGCCTCAATAGCACCACAGTCAAGAATATTACAGTCCTTGGTAAGTGGATTCCTAGGACATCAGCTCTGGAATAGTCTGGTCTCTGAAGAAGTTAATTCTAGGCACAGGCAATCCCTCCCCTGAGCCTCCAGCTCTACTGCTGAGATTTGCTTGTTTCTTTCTCATGGCTGGCTGACGTGGGGGTCCCACCCTGGGTCTCCTAGACCCAAAAAGTCCCAGGTTGGGAGGGGGGGCTCTCAGGAGAAGAGAAATAGGGTCTTTGTCAAGTAGCTTCTTTCTGCCACTAAATCAACCCTTTCTATGGCTTCTTCTGTTTTCTTTAACTTCTTTCGTGATCAAAGAGTTTTCTCCCCTGAACGAGGAAGGGAGGAACCCCATCAGATGGTTGGGGGGGAGGGTGGGGGAAGAGCAGCGGCTCGGAGCTCTGCTCCCAGCTCTGTCTCTGTCTCATTGGGTGACTGGCAGGGTGGACTCCACAGGGGCTGAGATGGGGCAGGTAGGGAAGGTACCTATCTTAGATCTGGCTAAATCTTGAAGTCAGTCAAAGTCAGTGTCTCTCAGCTACACCTGACTGGGAACCCCAGCACATGTGGTGCACCCGGGGGAGCGGGAGGGATGCTGGCGGGAAGGGCAGGAAGCTTTGCCAGGGGTGGGAAGGGCAGTGCCAGTGAGTCTATTTGTAAGAACGATGCGAATGCCAGGCTTTTGTGCACCCGGTGACCGTTCACCTCTATGGCTCTCATTCATTGTGCTGTTTAATCTACAGATCAGGAAATAAAAGTCCTCTTCAAACAATCATTCTTTAGTTTGGAGTTTCTCCCGATCCTGAGCTCATGAAGACTGAGTCATCTGAGTTCCCTGACAAAAGTATTCAATATAAACCTACTTTATTTCCCAGAGATCACTAGGAAAGGGTTGCACAAAAGTCTGTGGGGGAAAATGTTTTGCCTGACTGTGGGGTCTTTGGTAGCGTGGGCTGTGGAACCCACAGAGCTGATGGGGCTCGGGTCGGAGGGTCACCCTGGGCGATCTGGGGTGTTCAGAGGGAGGTAACAGCAGGGTCCTTATTAATCATCAGGCAGCCACTGCAGAGAGGGCGAGGGCCTTACCGTGGGCCCCGGGCTAAGCTCTCTGAGGATGGGCTGCCTCAGTGGTCTTTTCCCTCTGTCTGTCTGCAGAGCCGGTGACGCAGCCCTCCATCCAAGCCAGCAACACCACGGTCACAGAACAGCAATCTGTGGTTCTGACCTGCCACTCTACAGACCCTGGAATCACGATCCGGTGGCTTTTTAATGAACAGAGTCTGCCGCTGACCACGAGGACGAAGCTGTCCAAAGACAACAGCACGCTCAGTATAGACCCTGTCAGACGGGAGGACAGCGGGGAGTACAGGTGTGAGGTCTCCAACCCTGTCAGTTCAAGGAAGAGTAACCCTCTCAGGCTGGATGTGAATTGTAAGTCGCCCCTCCTCTCCCTGTGTAATTTACTGGGGGGGTGGGGGGGTGGCAAAGGCAGGGGAATTTCTTTACCATGGGTGCAGAAATGGATAAGTCACAGGGAAAAGAACAGGAAGTAAGCCAGGCACAGTGGCTCGCGCCTGTAATCCCAGCTACTCAGGAGGCGGAGACTCTGAGGCTCCAAGGTTCAGTGTCAGCATTGTGTTGGTTAATTGCAAGTGGAGTCTTACTTTTTTTTTCTTTTATTTATGTTTTATTTATTTATTTATTCATTCATTGCCAGTCCTGGGGCTTGAACTTAAGCGCCTGGGCGCTGTCCCTGAGTTTCTTTTGTACTCTACCACTTGAGCCACAGCGCCACTTCCTCACTTCCATTGAGGAATGGAACCCAGGGCTTCATGCATGCTAGGCAAGCACTCTATGGACATGAAGCCACCTCCCAGCCCCTCTTTTTCTTTTTTTGCTCAGGCTCATTTTGAACTGAAATCCTCTAGGTCTTGACCTCCTGAGTAGCTAGCATTAATTACAGGCATGAGCCATGGTGCCTGGCTCCATCTCTAGATTATTTCTAATACCTAATGCAATGCTATATAAATAGTTGTTGGGCTATACCATTCAAAGAATGGTGAGAGAAAATGGTACATTTTTTCAGTGCAGACACCATTTTTTGACAAAAGCAAAACAAAAAAAAAGACATGAAGCAGTTACTAAGGTTTGTACTCGGGGCCTCATACTTTGTAGGCAGTCACTCTACCACCAGGCCACACCTCCAACAGCACTTTATACTGGTTGTTTTGGGGATAAGGTCTCTCTTCCTGCCCAGGAACACACATGCCTGCGACCATGCCCGGCTCCTCTCCATTGCAGTGGAGTCTCACAGACTTTAATGGCTGAGTTGGCCTTGAATTGCAATCCTCCTGATTTCAGCCTCCCATGTAACTAGGATGAATGACTTCTTAGTTCTAGAAGTTTCTGCAAGATCCTTACAATTTTTTACCTGCAAGTTCATGCCACTGAGGATAATTTTACTTGTGTAGGTCAGTCTAGGACTTCTAATAGTATATTGAACAGAGGGGCTGATAGGCTGGTACCCCTCTATCATTTCTGATCTTAGAAGAAAGCTTCTGAGTCTTTCACCATTGAGTATGAAGTTGGCTGTAGGATTTCTAGCTATGACTTGTATTTAGTAAGGTAGTTTCTTTCTAACTAGGTAGAGTACTTCGTCATAAAAGGATGTTATTTTTGTCAAGTGCTTTTGCTAGTTATGGATGAATTCAATTTTCTATTTTTTCATGATTTTACTCGGTGGGTTTTGTGTTTCTAGGAATTTGTCCATTTTATCTAGGTTATTCAATTGTTGCAGATGGCAGGTATGTGATACTCTTAGAATCCTTGTTGCTCTAAATAGTACTAATGCTTCCAGTTTCATTTCTAGCTTTAGTGATGGGGGTGGGGGAGGGGTGCCAGTCCTGGGACTTGAACATAGGGCCTGGGCATTGTTATACTCTTTTGTGCTCAAGGCTAGTACTCCACCACTTGAGACCACAACTCCACTTCTGGCTTTTGTAGGGAGAGAGAGTTAATTGAAGATAAGAGTCTCATGGACTTTCCTGCCCTGGCTGGCTTCGAACCACAATCCTCAGATCTCAGCCTCCTGATGAATTAGGATTATAGGTTTGAGTCCTTGGCACCTGGCAAGACCCTCTTTTTTGAATGTAAAACATGCACTTCTCTAAGTCACTTCTCCAATATTCTTAACCTCTTCAGCAACGTGCCACAGAGGAAGTGTTTCTAAACATGAGCTGCTGTTCACGCTGAGGTTATTGTTAGCCACAGTCAGGCGGCCAGATCTACCTTCTACTCGTCACACAGATCTATGCCAGTGCTCCCACTGCTCCCAGCCTCTGTTTCCATCCATGAGATGGAAAGAGCATTTACCTGACGGGGTTAGCGTGTAGATCAACTGTGAGACACATATTAACACACAGTAAGGAGCTTGGTCATCATAACCATAGCCGATGTGAATTGTCAGCTTTCAGCTGGCTGTGGGCAGAGGCCCAAATAGTTGTAATTGGGATAAAGAAGAAACAGATGCAAAAAAGTATTGGGGGGGGGGGGGGGAAGAGAGAACTTTATACCAAAAATAAAATCACCAAATAAACCTGGGAGAGATTAAAAAAAAAAAAAGCCGGGTAGTGGTAGCCTATAATCTTAGCTACCAGGAGGCCAAGCTCTAAGGATCACAGTTCAAGACCAGTCTGGGCAGGAAAATCCATGGAAGTCTTATCTCCAATTAACTCTCCCAAAAAGCTGGAAATGGAGCTGTGGCTCAAGTGATACAGTGCTAGCCTTGAACAAAAGGAGCTTAAGGACAGCACCCAACCCTGAGTTCAAGCCCCAGGACCAGCAAAAATTAAAAAAAAAAAAAAAAAAGAGTTAAGTGCAAACTTTCTAGTCTGGTAGATGAGTTTGGATCTGCTGAGGTGCAGTCATAGTGGGATTGGACATAGCAGCTTAATTGGGGGAAACACCTCTGAGGAGGAAGGCCTGGGAGAGGCCTCAGACCACAGTGCAGCGAAAATCCCCAGGACAATGAAAGAGCAGAAGGATGCTTTCACCAGCAGTGTTTCTTAAGGTTGGTGTGAATTCTTGAGCCAAAGCTGGCCACTGGAGAGAGAAAAAAACAAACAAACAAAAAAAAATGAACAACAACAAAAAATGAACAAACTGTCTTTCAGAACTGCATCTGCTTGGTTTTTTGGTGTTTTTTTGCCCATCCTGGGGCTTGAACTCAGGGCCTGGGCACTGTCCCTCAGTGTCTTTTGCTCAAGGCTAGTGCTCTACCACTTGAACCACAGTGGTACTGTGAGCTTTTTCTGTGTATGTGATACTAAGGAATTGAACCTAGGGCTTCATGCATGCTAGGCAAGTGTACTCTACTACTAAGCCACATTCCTAGCGCCCCCTGTCCCCCGCACCTGCTTTTCTAGCCCTCCTAGGAGCCATGGAATCACAGTCTCTTGTGCAGGGGAAGTGCTGAATTCAGGGTGCGCAATATGGGCCTCTGTCCATTTAGCCCTTGAGACAGGTGACCCCACACACACACCAGATCCATATTCCTGGCTATCACAACAGGGACACTGAGAAAAAAGATGAGACTATGAAGAAGTAAAGAAAGTACAACAAACACACAGCAATCCACCCTTCTCTCATCCCCAAACCTTCTACTGAGTGTAGAAAGGCCAAGATGGGATGGAGGGAAGGCTGATGAGTAATCTAGAGCCACCAGGAGTTGCAAAAGGACCTACTCTGTTAATCACCCCTCACCTCACCTCCTCTGATCAACCCTCCCACAGAAACTACCTCCCTGAAGGCACAAGTGGCCCATACTTTGTGCTGAGAAGTGTTTTCCACGACTCCCTCACTGACAAATAATTTCACCTCCATGTCTTCTCTTTTCTTCCCATGACAGATGACCCAACACAATCAAGTTCTGACCTTTCCCCTGGGGCCATTGCTGGCATCGTGGTTGGAGTTGTGGCCGGGGTGGCTCTGATAGCAGCCCTGGCATATTTCTTGTACTCCAGGAAGACTGGCGGGTATGATGGCTTTTCTTCTCCTTCCGTTTTCTCCATGTCAACTGCCATGCATGAGAGGGGGAAGGAGCTCTTTATCTCTTCCACTGGGCTGATGGCCTCCTTTTGCTAAACTTCCTGCTTTCTAGCACTCATACCTATGGATCTCCAGGCTCCCTGTCTTCATACTTTGTCTCTTGGATGTGGCTAGTCCAGTTCTGATCAACTCTACAGCAAACTGATCCAATTATGTTCCTCTGCCCCGTCCTACCCCCGTCCTAGTCGGGAAGCAAAGAGCTAAGAAAGAAAACAGATGAGGAAATAAAAAGAGCAGCATGAGAAAGCAAATCCCATGTTCTGTGGACCACAATAGCAGGAGGAGGAGGGAGGAGGAACAAGACAGGAAGAGAAGCTGAGAGAATGCAGACACATTAAAGTGTGAGAGGACAAATAAAATCCAAAGTCTATCTGTGAAATACAAACTTAGGAGAGATGTTAAACAGGTTCGGAAGCAGTTAGAAGAAGAAGAAAAAAAAAAAGAAGAAGAAAAAAGCCTGGGGCTGGTGGCTCAGCTTGTCAGCTTTTTCATCCTAGTCACTCAGGAGGCTGAGAACTACGGATCGTGGTTCAAGGCCAGCCTGGGCAGGATAGTCCATTTATCTCCAATGAACCACCAGAAAACCAGAAGTGGTGCTGTGGCTCAAAGTGGTAGAGCACTCACCTTGAGCAAAGGAGCTCAAGGACAGTGCCCAGGCCCTGAGTTTAAGCTCCATGACTGACCTCCCCCCCCCCACAAAGTCAGACAGAAGATCGACAGGACATCTCACCGATAGGGATTGTGTGAGACCCAAGAATGAGGAATGCTGGCAAATGAATATGACAGAGTGTCCAGAAATTATCTTCTGGCCCCTGCCTTCCAGGCTCAGGGAGCAAAGGTCTTTGTTCTTGGGGAATAGCAGTCACAGTGTCTGATATTTATTTAGGGCAAGCAACCAGCGTGATCTCACAGAGCACAAACCCTCAGCCTCCAGTCACAGTAAGTAAGCCAATTCACCCTTGTGAGAAGGGGGTACGTACCACCCCCTGCCCCGCCCTGGCAGCCAATCGTGGAGTCACAAATCACTCTTTGCTTTCTAAATTTTCACAGAAGTGATCTCTTCTTCCCAGTCCTTAAGTTGGCAGAGGGCTTCATGCCCCTCTTAAGCCACTCTACCTAAGCTAGGTAGGCCTGAGGGAACCAAGTTTGCAAGCGCCATCTTCTCACCCTAACTCTTTCCCTCCTGCCTCTGTTATGGACCTGGGCATTCTCCCTTGGTGAGACTTTCCTTGTCTTATGGGTGCTCTGGGTGCTGTGGGTCTCAATGCCCCTCTTTGCCATTGGGCCACGTTGTTAAGAAACACATGTGGGCAATAAATAATAATAAAAATGAAGGCCTTGTAGTGGATATTACATTTCCAGAGATGGGCTTGCAGCCTCTGGCCCCTAACCATTACCACCACCACCACCACCACCACCACCACCACCACCACCACTATCACCAGCACCACCAGCACCCACCACCTTCTACCTCTTCAAGCTAGAAAATACAAGGTCTTAACTCAGCTTTGCAGTCCCAAAGGTTGCTAAGTCTTGGTTTGCTTCTCCAGGTCCGGAAATTTCTCGTGATGATGCTCCTAATGAGGTAAGCACAGAAAGTTTCATGGGCTTTTTGTTTCCCCCGACAGAAAATCTCTCTGGAAAGAATGGATTAGACTTGAAGGCAAATATGAGTGAACTTTGGGTCTCATTTCCTCAAGGCAACAGGAGAGTAATGAGTTACTCACTCTTGTGTGCAGTATCTTAGAGCAAGACTGTATAATTGTAGTCGGGCATTGGTAACATACACCTGTAATCCTAACTACTCAGGAGGCTGAGATCTGAGGATCACAGTTTGAATCCAGCAGATAACTCTTCATTTAACCAGAAAAAGACGTGGAGTAGAGCTGTGGCTCAAGTAGTAGAGTATCAGCCTTGACTGAAAAAGCAAAGCAAGAGCGTGAGACCCTGAATTCAAGCCTCAGCACCAATGCGAGCGCGCGCACGTGCACGTACACACGCATGCGCGCGCGCGCACACACACACACACACACACACACACACACACACACACACACACACACACGAGACAGACAGATACACAAAATCTTTCAGTCTTTTTATACAAAGAGCAATGGAAGTCAGGATATAGAACATACTTATATACATGTGGTTTTTCTAGCTTTTTCTATTTATGTGGTGCTGAGGAATCAAACCTAGGAATTCATGCATGCTAGGTAAGCACTCTACCACGAAGCCAACGTTCCCAGGCCTCCCCGAGCCTTTTTGTTCAAGGCTAGTGTTTTACCACTTGAGCCACAGCTCCACCTCTACCTTTTTTTTTTTTTTTTTTTGGTCCGTTCGTGGGGCCTGAACTCTGGGCCTGGGCGCTGTCCCTCAGCTCTTCAGCTCAAGGCTAGCACTCTACCACTTGAGCCACAGCGCCACTTCCAGCTTTTTTTTTCTGCTTATGTGGTGCTGAGGAATCGAACCCAGGGCCTCATGCATGGAAGGCAAGCGCTCTACCACTGAGCCACCTTCCCAGCCCCAAATGAATGTGTTATTTGTTGTGTGTTTTTTTTTTTTTTGTCGGTCGTGGGGCTTGAACTGTGGGCTTGGGCGCTGTCCCTCTGCTCTTTAGCTCAAGGCCAGCGCTCTACCGCTTGAGCCACAGTGCCACTTCCTACTTCTACCTTTTTTGGAAAGAAGAGTCTCATAGACTTTCCTGCCTAGGTTGGCTTTGAACCACAATCTTCAGATATCAGGCTCCTGAGTAGCTAGGATTACAGGTGCTCGGCTACAACGCTACTATATATATAGCCAGTCCTGGAGCTTGAATTCAGGGCCTCTAAATTGTCTTTGAGCCTCTCTGTGCTCAAAGCTAGCCCTCTTACCACTTGAGCCACAGTGGTACTTCTGGCCTTTTCTGTGTATGTGGTACTGAGGAATCAAACTCAGGGCTTCATGCCTGCTAGGCAAGCACTCTACCACTAAGCCACATTCCCAGCCCATGCAATGCTTGTTGAACAGAGCCCTGCTCATACTTTTCAGATGGATGAAGTTTCATATACTTCCCTGAAGTTCAATGCTGCACAACCAAAAAACTCAACGCCAGTACCCCCGACCTCAGTGGCTACAGAAACGGTTTACTCGGAAGTGAAAAAGAAGTAGCGCCTTCCACCTGCCTGATGCAATACTGCCACTTCCCAAGTCTCTCACCATCTTGCTGGAAGACTCTCAGTCCTCAGGGAGAAAGGGGGGGGGGGGTCCCCCCCTCGCCCCCTTGTGCCCATCTGGAAGGACTGCTGGACTCCTGTGGAAGAGAAGGTGCATCCCAGAGTCTGGCAAAGCTGGCTTTTGGAGTCACCAGGAGCTCCCACCCTCTCAAGGGAGAGAATATTCCTTTACTACCCCTCCAGGCCTGTCTTAGCAGAGTCTAACTTGAGTTTGCCATAGCCTTGAGGATGAGATCCTTTTTTCTTCTCTTTTTCTTTTTCTTTTGGTCGTGTTGTACCAGAAAAAAAGGGACAGAGAGAAAACAACAACAACAACAAAAAAGCAAAGCAGGAATGGCTTTTCTCTCCAAATTCAAGTATGAAGCCACTATATATAGGAAAAAGAAATCTATCACCCACAGTGCATTGGGGAATTCTCTACTTCTGTCCCATCAGCGCAGCCTGTCTGTTGCATCAGGGTCCAGATACCTTGCTTTTTGGCTGAAACACCACCTAATTGCCGCTTTGGGCAGGCCTGCCTCCAGAAAACCCACTAGAAGTAACTAGGAACTATGGAGTTGTTATCTGATTCCTACTACAAAAGGCCAAAGTGCTCATACATCTTTAATAATAACTGCTGCTTACTTCAGGAAGTACCTAGAAAAGGACTGAGTACAGCCAAGGTGCTGGTGGCTCAAGCCTGTCATCCTAGCTACCCAGGACGCTGAGATCTGAGGATCATGGTTTGAAGCCAGCCTAGGCAGGAAAGTCCATGAGACTCTTAAAAAGGCTGTGGAGCTGTGGAGCTGTGGCTCAGGTGGTAGAGCACTAGCTTTGTGTGAAAAAGCTCAGGGATAGCACCCAGGTTCTGAGTTCAAGCTTCAGGTCTGGCACAAAAAAAAAAAAAAAGGGAGTGATTTGGGGGAAGGTCTAGTTTTTAATAGACACAATATGCTGGGTACTTGGGAAGAGATTAGGGAGCTACCCTTTATAAACTACTGCTAAAGGACTGAACTGCACTCGGTGCTCATGCCTGTAATCTCAGCACTTGGGAGGTGGAGGTAGGAGGATGATGAGCTCATGGTCAGCCAGGGCTACATAGCAGCACCTTATGTAAAAATAGAAACAAACCTAATAATGTTATTAAAGCACAAACTGGTGGTACTGGGGTTTTCCTTTTTTCTGAGACATTCTAGTATTTCAATCTTCGTAACCTTTTATTTGAAAGGGGTTGTTTTTACTTAGTTCAGCTGTGTGAGCCAAGCTGTTAAGTAAAAAAAGCCCCCCTCCCCACCCCACACGCTCCTCAGACCCCCTTGGCCAGGAGCCTCTCAAGGTTTTTTTTTTTGTGAACAACTCCAAATAGAAAATAACCAGAAGCTTGAGCACTGGTGGTTCATGCCTGTATCCTAGCTACGTAGGAGGCTGAGATCTGAGGATCGCGGTCCAAGGCCAGCCTGGGCAGGAAAAGTCTGTGAGACTCTTATCTCCAATGAACCACTAGAAAATCAGAAGTGGTGCTGTGTGGCTCAAAGTAGCAGAGCACTAGCCTTCAGCAAAAGAGCTCAGGGACAGCACCCAAGCCCTGAGTTCCAGCCCCAGGGGCTTTCCTCCATCTTGCTAGAAATGGACCAAACTCTGTTTCTATGTGTCGTGGGTGGGCCAGGTATCGGCTACCTTGTTTCCCATGTTTCTGCCTATGCATTTCTTCACCTGTTTGTTCCCCCTCCCACCATGCTCTTGGCAAACCTTGGCCTTTGCTAGTGTTTGGTTCCTTGCAAATCAGAAAGTGGGAGGTTCTTTAGCAAACTCACTAGCTTATGGCACATTAAGGTCCTCTGGGAAATGAGAGCTGGGAAGAGAAAGGGTGTGCGGACAGGAATGGAACAATAAGATCAGGCCCGTGGGGCTTTCTGAACAGCCTCTGAAACTTGTCTTCTCCTCTCTCTCATGGGGTCTGTGATACCCAGGATGTTTTAGAATAAAAAGAGACAAGAGAAAGAAAGGCAAATAGAACTCTGCCACAGCCCTCTGCCACACGAGTGCCATCTCTTTGGACTGTTAAGCAAAAGGTTTTACTTGATCTTAACTGTGTGATCTCATGCCCTGCCTGCCAGACCTCCTCCAAGAGAATTCGTTGGGAGTTGTTCTACTCAGGTACCTCTTGCAGGGATTTTGAATCTAGACACTGATTGTATGTACTTTCCTTCATCCATGCTATGCTGGGTTTATTTAATTTTGCCTGGCTAAGGCCACTTCTGAATTGTTTGTAAAATCTGTTCTATATTTATAATAAAAAAATTGTATTTCAGACATCATGGTGTTTTCTGGTTGTGGTTGATACTGCTATAGACAATATCTTCTTTACAAGCAGAAGAGGAATAATAATATTTTTTAAAAGACTTGTTGAATAGGGACCAGAGTCAGTCTATTTCTAAGTCTTCAGATATCTGCCCGAACAATCAGAGAATCAGTGAAATTCATTTGCACATCTGCAAATATATACAAAGTGAGTGTATGTGAGCGTGGAAGGCCACGCGGCTCCCACCTGCCCTCCAGGAAGTGCTTCTCTTCCTCTGAGAGAGAAGAGTGGGTCAGGAGTTAAAGACACCCGGCCTTTATCACTGGTGGTAAATAACACGTTCCTACCCGGGGAGGCTCCAGGAGTCAGAGGCAGTGATCTGGTAATGAATTCTCCCTAGCACCGCCTGCCTCTTCCTGGTTACCAGGTCCATTCTCGTTGCCTTGGAGAGGCACCTTGCATAACCCATGTGAACGGAGGGTCTCATTTGCATGCGCTGTATGGACAGCCTATGGCCTCTTCCACATCCTGGACACAGGGTAAAATCAATACCCTCACCTGGGTCAAATTCACAGTATTTTCACCATCCTCAAACTTCAATTTCACGGCCTCTAAGACCACAGATAAAACTTTGTCCTTCTGGTTTTTAGTTGCCTGACCTGAAGCATAGAAACGATTGAAAAGATAATAAGGAGTCACAAGGAGATTTGATGTGATAGACATGTAATTAAAAAAAAAAGACTGAAAAAACTTTATTTTTCGTCAGGCGCTGGTGGCTCACACCTGTCATCCTAGCTATTCAGGAGGCTGAGATCTGAGGATCATGGTTCAAAGCCAGCCAGGGCAAGAAAGTCCGTGAGACTCTTCCCTCCAATAAACCACTAGAAAACCAGAAGTGGCCCTGTGGCTCAAGTGTTAGAGCACTAGCCTTGAGCTGAAGAGCTCAGGGACAGTGCTCAGCCCAGAGTTCAAGCCCCACGACAGAAAAAAACAAACAAACAAAAAAAACCTTTTATTTTTTAAGGTAAAGTACTGGCAGATGGTTAAATTTTAAAAGATTATAGGGCCAGATATGGTGGCTCAGACCTGTAATCTCAGCCACTCTGGAGAAGAGCAGGAGGGTGGAGGTTTGAGGCTAAGACCAGGCCAAAGGTTATCAAGCCCCCATCTCAGTTAATGAGCTCTGCCTGAAATCCCAGCTAAGCTCCAGACACAGGGAAGAGGATCCATGTGTGTTTATGCTTGGGCTAGCCTCACACATTGTTCCTGGACACTGTCTCTGAGCTCTTTTTCTCTTATCTCTAATGAACCACCAGAAAACCAGAAGTAGGCTGTGCTAGAGCACTAGCCTTGACCAAGAGAGCTTTGTCCAGGCCCTGAGTTCAAACTCTAGTAAAGCCAAAAAATTTAAAGTGTGGGGAAAAAATTAATGAAACACCCAATTAGTAGATGAATGGATAAATGAATTGTGGTATATTCACAGAGATAGAATACTAATCTTCAATTAAAGGGCTCAAGCTGCTTATAAAACAGAACGGATGGATCTTGCTGGGCAAAGTATTGCATCGACTTGAGGATCTGGGATCGCCTGCAAGCCTAGGAATTTAAGGTCATCTTGAGAATGGAAGCCAGACCTGTTCCTATTCCCCAAGGATGGAGAACGGCTGGGAGGGGGGGACCAAGAGAGACAGAGAGAAGAATCTGTGTCTCAGATTCTTTAGCTATAATTCAAGGATAATAACCATATATGTTTTCACAAGGCTGGTGTCATGAGTCAAGAAGTTAATCCATATGTAAATACTTGGAAGATATTGAGCAAACAGATAAACATTATTAGCAATGGTATTGGTATCTTAGCCCATAAGATAGTTCCACACATTAAAAAAAATCTCAGCTGGGCGCCAGTTGCTCATGCCTGTCATCCTAGCTACTCAGGAGGCTGAGATCTGAGGATCAAGGTTCTAAGCCAGCCTGGTAAAGGAAAGTCCATGAGACTCTTATCTCCAATGAACCACCAGAAAACGGGAAGTGGTGCTGTGGCTTGAGTGGTGGAGCGCTCGCTTCAGTTCACTGGCCCAGCCGTGTTTCTGCCTCCCCTGCACATGCTCACTATTAGGTAAGTCCTCAGCTTCTTTCCCAGGTGGGTGTCTCTCTCCCCATAGATTCAAATATTGGCTCCAGGACCCCTGCACTGCTTATTCTACAATCATAGGAGGCTGCGGGCAAGGTGGATTTCTAGATCACTGGCCCCACCTATACCCATTTGGGAGAAGCAGGACTTCTGGAAAAGACAAACGTAGGTAAGACAGGAGCTGGGACATGAAGCCTGAGAACTTCCTGGAGATGTATTTATATCATCAGTTCACCAAAAGGAGGCCCTTTGTACCCATTAGGGCTTCTTTTTCCCCAAAAGTAGATATTCTTTTTTTCTTTTTCTTTTTTTTTTTTTTGCCAGTTGTATGGCTTGAACTCAGGGCCTGGGCACTGTCCCAGTGCTCTTCAGCTCAAGGCAAGCGCTCTACCACTTGAGCCACAGCGCCACTTCAGGTTTTCCAGTGGCTTATTGGAGATAAGAGTCTCACAGACTTTCCTGCCCGGGCTGGCTTTGAACTGAGATCATCAGATCTCAGCCTCTTGAGTAGCTAGGATGACAAGCGTGAGCCAACAGCACCCGGTTATCATGGACAGTCTTATTTCCCATGCTAACAGACTAGGAGAGAAACAAAACCCCAAAACCATGAAAACCCAAAGCCTCGGAACTGAGAAAATCTAAGACCACAGGCAGCCACAGATGAAAGCTGAAGCAAGAGTGTTGGGGGGAGGATGCTGGGAAGCCAGAGGCGAGTTCCCCAGGAGAGTTCCCCTGTGGGGGAGGCGCCCTCTGCCCTTGGCCAGGCAGCTGCTAGACCATGATCCTCCTCAGAGTGGGGAAGACAGGGTCGATCATTAGCCAGCTCCCAAAGGAGAGAAGAAAATGGAGGCCTGACATCCCTCCCCCACTACCCTTTCTCCTCAGTTCACTTCAGGAAGAACATGCAAGACTATGCCCTCAGCCTGGGACTTGAGGATTTTTTTACTATGGAAAAAGAAAGTGTGTGTTGAGGGGTGGGGGAGAAACGGGATGGTGGTAAGGACCAACTGAACGGCAGCTGGGACATGCTTTGTTTAAAGGTCAAAGTCTCCTGAAGCTCGCCAGCCTCTCTTCCTGGCTGACTCTGTGAGGCAGGAGCGTTGGCCCCATACTTGGAACAGCACCAGAGTCCTCAATTTTCCTTGCAGCAAGGGGAGCTGGAACTCCAGAGCAGTAGGTACCCTGAGATGAAACTGGTTTTATGAAGATTTCACCCTAGGCTTGAAAATAACTTCATATGATAAGTGACCAAAATATTTGGGGGTGGGGAGGGGGTAATGACAGGACCTCTAGAATAAGTGTATATTTACACCCTGGAAAAC